CAACCCGAAAAAATAGTCTGGTCTTTTTAGTCCTTTTGGTCCTGAAGGACCAGTGACTATACAGACCGAACAAGACTGAGACCATCTCGGGTTGGACTGGACCAGACAGGACTGGGAGACTTTTGCACAGCCCTAGTGTGTATATTTCTTAAGATTTTGGGAAAATGACAGTTAAGTACCAAAAGAAAAAATTAATGATACCTAGGTCCTTGATAAAATTTTCTTAAAAATAAGTTGCCAATATGGTTTAGGAGTTTCAATTAAAAATAAGATATTTAGTTCTAAATGTAACTTTCAGTTTATAAGTGGGATTTTTGTTTACAACTATTTAAATTATATTTACAACTCATTTTAAAAAAAAAAATTATCAAAGACCTAATTGTCATTAATTCTTTCTTTTGAAACTTTTGTATCATTCTTCCAAAGTTTTTTTTTTCTCAAACGAAAAATATTGTTATATGTACAATAATAGTGTAGAAATTATACATAATTGTTGAAGGAAAAAAAATGGTTAAGGTCCTTTGGGTTCATCGGGAAGGCATATATATGAAACCTTAGCTCTGATAAGGAGATATAATGGCTTTAAGTTTTTTGGGGGAGTATTTACCATTTGGAGTTAGTATAAGCTTCCTTTGTCTTTATACAATAATCCTTTTCTTTCATTCTATTTCTTTAATGTTGTTATTTTTATTTATTTTCAAAACGTATTGTATTGCAAGTTGACATGAATCAATGATAAGTTTCTAGGATAGTGGATTAATTGATAATAAAAAAAGAGGTTGATTGCAATGTTAGTTGCCTAGCTATAAAGGAAATCATATGAAAATGGTCTAATATTATTAAATTATAGAAGATATTTAATGGAATATTATTAATAGTTATATACAACAAGAGTTTTTTATCCTGAAGCAAAATGAAAAAGGAACTGATTAAAAGATTAACTATTGCCGGTCTCGTTCTCTGCAATATAATAATTAAAACATGAACGTATGAAATATTCAAATTATTTTAATTTTTTTTTAAATCAGGCAATTAAAAAAATTCCTTATCTAATTGAAGCCATGTTTCTTTGGTTATTAATTTATTGACATAGTTTTTTTTTGTGAACATTTTATTGACATAGTTAAAGAACTTTTCATCTTACCAAATTTTTTTTTTCAATATTCACTGGCAAAGCAGAGATTAATATCAATATACTCCCTGCCTTAACTACAAAATATAAGGTATTTTTTATGAGATAAGATATTAAAAAATGTAAGTCGATTTTAAGGTGTAATTAATGAATTTTTTCCCAAAAATATCCTTAATTAAGATTGTAATTGATAAGGTTATCTAATTAAGATATCCTATTAAATAAGGGCAAATATAAAAAGAGTGTGTAATTTTAAAAATAATTAACTAATTCATTGAATTTATATATGTACACCCTTTGATCCAATTTTAAATTATTTTCAGTATATTTTATTGAAACTAAAAACAACCTTAAATCTCATTAACTTTATCTTAAAATTTAAGACTCCCTCCATCCTTATATATAAGATGTTTGTAACCAGATCACACACACCAATAAAAATTGGTTATCTAATTAAAACTACAGTAATATTCCAAATTTGTCCATAATTATTGTAAATAAAAAATGAATCTTTTCTTCCAAAATAAATTATTGAGAGTATTTTTTTCATTTAATAAGAATATAATGGTCTATTTATTAAAAAATATACTAACAACCTCTTATATTTAAGGACAAAAAAGATTCTGGAAGACAATTTATATATAGGGACAGAGGGAGTAAGTTTCATCTCTACTTTTAATAAAGACAAAAACAATAATTTTTAATAATTTTTCCTAGCAGTTAATGAGAGTAAAAATGTAAAGATGAATATATAAAATAATTAATTGTCCTGTAAATAGGACCAAAATTAATCTCCTCCTCTATCCTATAAATAAAACTAGAGAAATATAATTTAATTAAAAGTGTCATATAATATTGAATGGATAAAGTTTAAATAAGATTTTCTTCCTTTTTTTTGTGTGATTTACATGCCAAAGATGAATATGACATTTTTTTTATGCTTAGGTTTTGACAAGAATATTCCTGTCATAATAATGGAGAATATGACATTTCCTATTGAAATACATGAACTGCAATAAAAAAATGTTAAAGGGAAAAAATGTTTTAATTTTTTTTTTCAAAAATGTATGTAATTCTTAACTTTTTGTTGGAATAATTTTACTCTTAAAACTTTTAAAAAAAGTAAGCAATTTTAATTCACCATTAGTGCACTGTGATTATATAAAACAAATCTCCTCTCTTCTCCACATGCTACCTCTTTTTTCCTCTAATTCCACTGCCATTTCACTCTAGAACTCCTTTACTTCTTCTTCCTCTTCCTCTCATGAGCTTAGGCACCCCTCCTCTTCCTCCTCGCTTCCGATCTGCCCTCCATATGTAATAATCAATTCTCATTTGGTATGCTTTCTTCTTTTGCTAAGCATCAATACATCAGAGAAAATTTAAGGGTTCTTGATTTGTGAACAAGGAAGGCACATAAGTCGGCTTGAATAACATGAGCTGCAGTGTCCTAAAGGGAATAATATGAAGACGGACGATGGCCAAGCAAAGGAGAAGAAATCCATTTGAGAGAAGATTAAAGCGCTTCAAGTCGGCAGAGAAGGGATGCAATAGCGGAATGGGCTTGTTTATTGGTGGACAATAGCCATGCAAAGAAGATGAATATGCCAGATCTTGATATTTGTTCTTTCTTCATTTGTTTTTTTTTTTTTAAATTTTTGTTCTCTCTTCATTTGTTGGTTTACTTATCAAGAGATTTCCTAGCTTAATTTTTTGATTTCTTCAATCTCTTCTCTGTGGATGTGGCTATAGCTTATCTAGGTTTTGGGTGTTTGTTTGGATTCTGGATTTCATTTTTTTTTTCCCTGCTCGCCAACAACCATATTGATTCCACTGCTATTCTATTACGGTTCTTCATAGTGAACTTGAAAACTTTGGTAAGGGTGTATTTGAAAAAGATGATGGGGACGACAAGGGGGTTTTTGGATGAAAGCAATATGAGTTCCATGAAATCCAAGAGGGGTAGACAGATCAATTTTATTGGGATTTTGATGAGTAGGAAGCTAAATCACTTGAAGATGAGGATGATAAGTTGAATATGGATGGATTTGCTCTAGTGGGGGTTGGCTATGGTAACCTTTGATGAACAATTCCGGCAAGCAAATCCTGATTTGGAGTGTCTGGAGTTGGAAGGGATCAAAAATCGTAGGTAGGTATAAATGTGGAGTATGAGTCACATGCCACGTGTTAATTTATTGGTCAAACTAGGTAATTTAATGGTTAACATTTTTTTAGGTTAAATGTTGAACAAAATTGCTTACTCTTTTAAAGTTTTTAAGCAAAATTATTCCCACAAAAAATTTGAAATACTTAGTGTCTTTGGAGAAAAAGTTATGAAATATTTTTGCCCTTTAACCCTAAAAAATTATAATGTTAAAATATATAACATTAGGGAAATGAAACTTTTAGTCCTTCAAATTTGTCTTAATTATCAATTTGGTCTCCAAAGTTTATTTATCAATTTGGTTCCAAAATCTTGCCTCAATTATGGAATATTTGGTCCTTATTATTTAAAAAAGGGTAACACTGTTAAAATTTACTAGCACTGTTTAGTTAAAATCTACTAACACAAATAATTGCATTTAGAACTTAAATGTCCTATTTGTTGTTGAAACTTTTGAATTTATAATTATTTGAATCAATATTTATAACTTATTTTTTAAAAAAATTTATCGGGGATCTAAGTGTCATTAATTATCTCTTTTGGGACTAAATTTTCATTCTCTCAAAAATACATTATAAATTTTGTATTTTTAAATTTTCAATTTAATTATATCATAAATTTTAATCATATTGTGATGCATTAACAACGGTAAATTGATTAATATGGTCATTCCCATGTGCATAAGGGTCAGACACAAATTTAACATAACAAATGATAAACAAAATATGCATGCACACATATATATTCCCTATGTATAAAATTAATATTAAGTTCACATTCAAAATGTAAGATATTAGTAGAAAATTAAAAGAAGAATCACATCCAGCCCCTTCTCAAGAGAATTAATCATAGATAAGGACTAACAATAAGTCCCATTCGAGAACAAACAAGTCATGATTCTATTTTAACAACAACCCATTTCCCATTGGTCTTTTCTGTGATTAATTTTTTTAGGAGGGGGTTGGATGTAATTTTTTCAAAATTAAATTGGTTGAAGCGCCTTTTTATCCTGTTAATACTCTCAAAAAAGCTACAAGCACCTTTAAAAATTGGTTTGGAGCAATAATAGTGAAATATGTAATCTTTTAAAATCGATAGAGTACTATCTCCCCCCCCCCTTCTAGCAGTCAGTGTTAACTGTTAATGTTGGTTTGGAGATTATTTTATGTGAGTATATTGGAGGAGGAGAACATACATCGGATGAGTTACTATTACGTGGGAATGGAGTCACGAGAGAAACTTGGTTCAAGTTTACATCAAATGCGCACACACTAAGAGAAGAGAACAGAGAGAAAGGAAGTCTGTTTTCGATCGGGAAATGCAGAGAGAGAAATCCTTGTTTCCACACTGATTTCACATGCCACCACACTCGATGGTTATTGAGATCGTGCATGCAACCCAAAAACTGTTCCCACTCATTTCCAAGATGACAATGGGAATGTTACACTTATGATCCTGGTTTTGTTACACTTATGGACCCAGACTTTCCTATATTCTGATAAAACCCTATGAGCTTACATTGGACCTGATCTATTAAAGGTGGATAATCCAACATTTTCTTTGACCCAATTTGATATTACCATCATTTAATATATACACCCACACACACACGTATGTATAATATTTGTAAAGGATATTACACAGGCCGAAAAACACTCCAGAAGGGCAAAAGAAGGAATAATATTATAAAGTTGGAAAGAGTGATCATCCCTTTGTAAGACTCCGCCTTGAGTTTGTTTCACAAATTTGAAAGGATTCAGATGGAAGAGAGGCTCTTGAATTCTCTGATGCTTTGTTTGCTTCCTTACTTTTACCCCATAACGCTATGTACAGTCCACTCACAATCAACATCATCCCTATCAGACTGCATGCACATCAGGCCGCAACAATTAGTATATACACATTAATTAACCTCTTGGAACTTACTTAATTAACAATAATCCTAATTATTAATTTATTTGATTAATTGAGAATGTCCTTTTTTAAAAAAAGGAAAAGAAAAGAAAAGCATCTTCGCTGGTCATGATCTTGTTCCACTGCCTTCAATATTGGACCACATTATATTGTTCAATTCCTAACTTTAATTAGAATAGTATTGTTTTGGTCAATTTATATATACATTTGTGATGGAAGATGAATTAATCAAAAACATATAATAAACATATTTCCAACAGGATATATATGATTTTTTTTTGGGAAAAATGAAAATTTTTATATACGTATGTGATTGAGATTACTATATTACAAGAAAAGCTTTAAGATGAACAATCTATATCTATGTAGAATATAAATATATAGAAAATTACGGAAAGTATTTATAACAATTTTTCAAAGAAAAATATCCAAAATTGGGATTTATTTATTTATTTTCTTTGGAAAATTGTTAAAAAAATGGAAACTGCACCATTTCATTACTATAAATTATCAAAATATTTGTCATTTAATTTTTATGGTCAAAAGAAAAAGGAAAAAATTATTAGAAGGTTTTGTAACATTACAAAGAGGATTAGAGATCCAAAGCTTATAGATTGAGATCTATGTATAGATAGATGATAGATCTCATTATAATCAGCACTTCTTTTGCTTCTTTTAATAATTCTCTAATACATGGAATAAGTGAAGAAAGATTTTCGATATGAGATTCACCTTCCAATATATAGAGTTTCATCAAGTAGTAAAGAGCCGGCAAGGACGGTCAGAGCGAGCATGAGAGGATTAAAAATGGCCACAAAAAAAGGTCCCTTCTTCATCACACACCATGCTACTATGGAAAAAGCCACCCCAGATGACATTATGCCCTAAAGGGGTAAAAAAACACAAAATCAATTAATTAAACCCACCAATCAACTTTATTTTTAGGTCTATCATATATATAATTACTGTGTAAACTGCAGTGAGAAGCCTAAGGTCCCAGCCAAGCTTCCATTGATTCCAGTCTCTCTCAATGCAAAACGCAAATATGACACCTTGAAATGAGCTCATGATGGACATTAAAGCTGTGCTGGAGCATTGCCATGGAAATTTCTGTGCCATCTTTGCCTGTTTAGTTTGGGTTTCCAACATCTCAACATGTTACAATGAAGAAGATGATCATTTATAATGCAGCCCCAATAGTTTGTGTTTCCAATGGAATGACCTGGATTATCAACCACAAGGAGTAACTGAGGCAGGCACCAAGAGCAATCATGCAGCCCCAAATGCTAGAAGTAGTGGAGGTGGCATGCGATACTGCCACGTGGCATGTCAAATTAATACGGGCTGTCCAGATTTGGATTCTCTTGCCCTTGCAGAAAGTAAGTATCATGGCTCCACTGATTCCTGTGAGGGTCCCTAATATCTTTGCCTTCCCTGCTGCTGTTGTTAAGTTCATCCTCTCCAGTCTGATAAATTAATATTGCTAATTAATTTATATCAACTTTGGTGATCCAATCATACAACACATACATATTTAGAGAGAGAATTAAAGATGCGGTTTAAGTAGTGGAATTACCTGAATAAGACAGCTATGATGTAGGTAGCTAAAGGAACGACGTTCATCACAGCAGTGGCATATGATACTGATACGAAGGAAAAGGAATGAAGAAAAAGATTTTGTAGCAAGGATCCCCTAAAATGAAATGACAATGTTTAATAATGTTTAGAAATTATAGAGACATGAATGAACCGATGTGTTATCAATTACTCAAATAATTATAATATGTATTCAAGCCAAAGCATTTGTTATAGTTAAGTGTAACAAAGATATATATACCCAAATAATCCACAAAGGAAAACTTGGAATAGAACTGTCCCATTAATTGCTTGGAGGCTTTCCCTGTGTAAAACAGCAGCATTAGAATTCAAAATAATAGAAGTATTCCACAAAAAGGATTCAGAAAATTCTCATCCATATATATATCCAAATCTATATGAGGCAGGGTTTAGAGCCTTATTAATGCCCAATCTCTCTAATTTCCCTTGCAATACTCTATTTATTTGGAATGTCAAGTGTAAGTTGACTAGATATAGAGAAAAGTCCTACTTGGAATAAAGTGGGATTGGATAAAAGGTATATAAGTGAAAAAACCCATAAATTTAATGTTTTAAAGTTGAGTTAAAATATAATGGTATACTCACTCCGTCTTCTTAGAACTGTTTGGTGTTCTCCCCCCTTCAAGATGCTCTCCGGACCCAACACCATTGTCCCAATTTTGCTTGTTTTTTCTTTTGTATCATTAGTTTCTATATATATACATATAAGGAGAGACATTCTAGTATTACAGTCAAGAAACGAGACAGTTGCGCAGGAAAGCGAGTGATTGATTACCTTTCAAAGAAGAGAGCAAGAGGAACAATGAAGGAAGTTGAAAAGAGAAATCTGTAGGCAACGACAACACTCATGCTTATTCCATGACTTTGCACAATTTTATACAATACATTCGTCCCAGTATATATAATCTGAACTAGCACCATTAATACTGCACTCTTCACACCATCCCTCACTTTAAATCTATCATGGCTTAAACTATCCATATATGTACACACACACACACACACTTGTATCAGATGAAGAAGAAGAAGAAGTAGGCAATGAATATATACTAGCTATATATATATATATATATATATCTATAGAAATCAGCGGAAGTACATAATTGTTTAAGAATAAAAAATATTGACTGGGGTCCTTTTGGTTTATCAGGAAGGCTTGAATTTTTAACATTACCACTGAAAAGAAGAAATGGTTATCAATTAACTTTTGCAGATAGTATAAGCTTGCTTTGTCTTCTCTAATCCTTTATATCTTTCATTTTCTCTCTCTCTTCTCTCCCTTAATATTATTTTTTTAGTTAAGCTACCAATTAAAAAATATTAGTTAAACTATAAAAATATCCACAAATTAATAGTTATATCTGACAAGATCTTTTAAAGGAGAAAATCAAGTTAAAAGGATCTGATTAATTGCATAATAATCCCCTTCATCGAAAAAAATTGAATAATAATAATCCGACCATTAAGGCGTTTACTATTATATAAGTGATCTTTTACAAGGATTTTATGTCTCTTTCATAAGTTATTTCAGGGAATGTTAAGAATAATTACTATGTTTATTTCAATGTTCGTGTGTGAATAACAAATACCGTCACTATTTTACTAATTATTCCACTAGAGGTTGTGCCAAAGAATTAGGAATCTCACGAAACTCATGGCATGGTCTTTATTCCATGCTCTTCATTTTGATAACCAGCCCATTTTATCGAGATATTTGAGCGTAGATTTCGACATTACTTAAGATCATATCTTTGTGCCAATGGTCTAATATTTGTAGCTGATGGAATTTCAACATGTTTATTTATTGTGGCCTTTATTGAGCCTGAAGGCCAGCCCCTTTTGTTTATATTGGGCTTGACGCTTCAATTATTTAGCCCAACTAGCCCTATGACTTATTTGAACGACGTTTTATATTTAGCCCAAACACTCAAACATGCTTCTTTAACTTAAATAAAGAAATTACTGGACCCCATTAATTTTCTTTTTTAATTAAGAATGTAAAATGTATCATAATAAAGGGATATTCTAAAAAAATTGGAATTCTTTAAATTAAAGACATAAACTATTTGTTTTGGTTTGTGTAACATAGATAAAGATGACTTAAAATTCTCTCTAATAAAATGATTAATAGATGACCTTATCAAATACTATAATTAATTTAAATGAGCATATGTATCCTTTGTGCTTCAAGAGTTTTAGATGAGCCAATCCAAGAAGAAAAGCTCACCTCATTAATTGAAAGTTGAAACCATGTTTCATTAGTTATTAATAATTTATTGATTGACAGTTTATTGGCAGAGCTGAAGAGCTTTTTCAATGTTCACAATCAATTTTGACATATCAACACAGCGCATTGTTTTGCTGCATTATATTTGACCCCAAAAGATTATTTACAGTGACATAAATGAATATGTGATGTGGGGTTAAATATATTAATATTGCAAGTTTAAATCAGATTTCCCCTTGTTTTTGCGTTTAATTTATATATCAGATATGAACATCAGATCATTTCTATAAGCTACGGTTTTGACAACAAAATTCTGTCCCAAGAGTACAATATGACATTGACCATTTGAAATATTAGATGAAACTCTGTAAGAATTAATATATATTGTTATATTAATATATTACGTTAAGATTATAAATTGCTAATTAATATTGACAATTACGGTTCATACATATGTCATATATTTATATGATTACATATTTTGATCGCATCAAATACCAAGAAAAACGGCTTCTTGTGCATAACATATCAGTTATTATGATTAAAATATGAGAAAGAAATGTTTAATTAGTCTCCCATAACAAGGCTGAGATCTAGAAGGTTCAACTTTGTATACTTCTTGAAATCCCGTTGACTAAAAACCGATTTAAATTGTCCTAAACAATTGATTTTAAAAAATTAAAGTCTTTTCTCCCCTAGTCAACGTTGAAAATTATTTAGTTTTAGCTAGTAGACTTGCCAAACAATTATTTTGTGGTGCCTTTAAAAATTGGAAGGAACATCAAACATTTTTTGTGAAGTATCCTGCATCTTGGATCTATCCCACATCAAGTTGAGTAGGGCTTCATGAGAATCCAGATTAATTCGAATTAAGTCAGGATAGAACCCTTTTGAGTATGTAGAAACTTTATTACCAACATTATTGTATTTTTATAGCTCGAATTCAAGACCTTTGATCAAGCTGATATATATACAATTCAGTTATCAGTTGAATCAAGTGTCCGATGATAATTGATAGTTTGTTTAGAATGAGGACTGAGGATTGACCTAAATACTCTCAAACAAGTTGAATTTCTTGCCAACTTTAATTTTCTCGAAATTAAATTGAATTGATTCAACAATACCCTCTTGTATGAGACAAGCTAGAAATCAAGGATGGGCAACAAAAGTAATCGTTCGAAGATAAAATAATGAAGAGATGTCAATGTAATAATATATCTTCGTTTCAACAGAAGTCAGAATACGTTTTGATAATATAATGGAGATTATGATTTATTTATTTGTGTGTAATAAAATTAATAATATAATGTTGGAAGAGTACTGAATATATTCACTGATCATCCTGGGTTAAGGCTTCAGATGGAAGAGAGCTCTTGAATGCTCCGATGCTTTGTTTGCTTCTTTGCTTTTACCCCATAACATTATGTACAGTCCACTCACAACAAAAAACATCCCTATTATATATACAATAATTAATTAGCTTCCTAACAACTAATTACTTTCTTACAATAGACGAGTATAATCCTACTTAATAATTAACTTGATTTATTGAGAATGTCTTTTTTAAAGTACCTTCAAATAAACAAAATTCAAAGAGAGCTAAAAAAACAAGAAGAGAAAGAAAGGTGACATCTATTAACTAGATTTAGATTAAGTTCACTCTAAGTTATGGAAGATTTTATTTCATTTTTTATGTATCTTAAACGTTGAATGCATCATTTATTAATACTTTTCTTTTTTCTTTTTGCCAAATTATCAATATTTTTCTTATTTCTCGCGCGACGCGCGCAAATATTAATGCAACATTTACATCTCTTCCTTAATTCGCTTAATTCACTCATATTTCACATAAGGAATGTAAATGTACGAAAAAAGTTGCATAAATTTATAAAAATATTATGAAATCGTACCATGTCTTTTACTGGAGTTGTCAGTTACTATTAAATAATTAGTCTGAAGTATATTGAGTCTTTTAATTTTAAATAATATTTTATTTTAATTCTTAAATTTTATATTATGTCTTTTCAATTTTCAATCGTTTAATTTTAATACTGTTAGTTTTATTACAAAAATGTTTTACATTAAAATTTTAAATATTGGTTAAATATTTTTAAATATTGATATATTAAATTAAATGTTTTTAAAGTAATAATAATTTATATAAAAATAATCATTCGAAATTATAATGTTAGAGTTAGGGAATTGAAAAGATACTTTGTAAAATTAAGAGATTAAATAATAAACTTGTATAAAGTTAGAGGGTCAAATGAATAATTTATCCTAATAATTATTATTATTAAGTTGTCAACTAAATAACTTCATTAACAAAGTATGTAGCATTAATTAATATCGACAAACTTTAATTATTAATAAATAACATGAGACTTCAGAGTAATTGCATGATTTCATGGTGGGACTTTTTGGTGTTTAGATTCCTTATATATGTGGGACAGCTAAGAGTAATTGTTCTACCAATAACATAACAGATTTTGATTAGTTTTTTTTTTTATCAAGATTTTAATTAGTTATTAAATTCACCTTCCAACGTAGAGAGTTTCATCAAATAGTAAAGAGCCAGCAAGGACGGTCAGAGCAAGCATGAGAGGATTAAAAATGGCCGCAAATAAAGGTCCCTTCTTCATCACACACCATGCTTCTAGGACAAAACCCACCCCAGATGTCATTATGCCCTACACAAATAGAACCAAATTAATTAATTAAACTCAATTATATGTCTAAACTTTTTTTATTGCTTACAAGTTTTTTTTATTGGAGGCAATTCTGTTTGAGGTACAATCAAGCACTAAATATAAAAATTTCTTTTAGCAAAAATTCAAAGTTTAATTTGTCACATTGTGAGGAATTAGCTCGTTCAATTAGATTCAACCCCATTAACATTATAGGTCAAATATGATTAAAGGAAAGTCATATACAAAAACCTTTCAAAAAATTATTTACAAATAGAAACCAACAACAAGTCTCCATTAAAAAAAAAAAACAAGTTGTTATCACTATTTTAACAATAAACAATTTGGCATTGGTTCTTATATGTGAATAATTCTCTTAGAAGGTCCTTATATGTGACTCTCCCTATAATTAAATCCACCAAATTGTAATTTCATGCACCATGCTATCATAATTAATTAGGTATAATTAACAAAAAGTCGCAAATTAAAGAAGCAGAAGCACATCAATTAATTACTGTGTAAGCTGCAGTGAGAAGCTTGAGGTCCCAACCAAGCTTCCATTGATTCCAATCTCTCTCAAAGCAAAATGCAAATATGATAGATTGAAATAGGCTCATGATGGATGCCAAACCTGTGCTTGAGTATTGCCATGGAAATCTATTAGCCATCTTTGCCTGTTTGTGTGATTCCAACATCTCACCATGTCACAGTAAGTGTAAGAAGATCATACATGTGTGTGCATATAAGGTTAAATGGCACATTGACCTTTAAACTATAGATTGAGGAACATTTGAACTTTTAACTCATTTTTTATATAATGTTCTTTTTTACTTTTTGAAATTTGTACAATCTAACCCTTAATATTAACAAAAGTTAACTTTGATAAGTAGTTGACTAAAAAATGATTAAAAAAAAAACTTAAAAAATTATAGGAAATGACTAAAGAATTACAGCAAAGAACTTTAAAAATTTCAGATAATGACCTAAAAATTTAAAGAAAAAGACTTTATTAATCATTTTTTGTCATTTTGAAGTTTTTTTTTGTTATATTTTAGTCAATTAACGAATAGAGTTAACTTTTATTAACAGTTGAAACTGAATTATATTGTTTTTAAAAATTAAAAAAAATATTATATTAAAAATAAATTTAAAATTTCAAACGTTCTTATATTTATAAATTAAGAGTCAATTTGCTCCTTTGCTCTTTTACTGTATGCATATACAAGGCTGGAAAAAAGAAACAGAGAGAAAAGGCGCAAGATTATAATGACCTGGACTATCAACCACGAGGAGAAACAGAGGCAGGAGGCAAGAGAAAGCATGCAGCCCCAAATGGTAGGAGTAGTAGTGTTGGACTTGTGCCGTCTGATGCTGCCACGTGTCTCATTAAGATAACATGATTGGTCACGATTTGGATTCTTTTGCCTTTGCTGAAAGTAAGGATCGTGGCTCCACCGATTCCCATCAAGGTCCCAAACACCTTAGCCTTCCCTGCTCGTGTTCGCAAATCTATCCTCTCCAGTCTGATATATTAGGTTATAAAAAAAAGTTTCACATTTAAAAGATTAAAAAATAGATCATAATATATAAAGCTTAAAAAGTATTTAATTAAATAGTTTAAGTTATTTTGATAGAATATACTATCCTAAAGCATACTTAATATAAAAAATCTAACATAGTATCACGAGCCATTCGATTGGAGGACAAAAAAAAAAGAAAGAAAGAAAAGAAAAAAAATGAAAGATAAAAAAGAAATACAACAAGAAGTTTAAAAAAGAAAAGAAAAGAAAGAAGAAAAGAAAGGAGAGAGAAAGAAGAAAAAGGAAAAAAATTGAATAGACCTGAGGCTTTTGAGACTAAAAAGTACAAGCCCAGGCAAGAAGAAAAAAAATAAAAAAAACAAAAGAGAAAAAAGTAGTAGAGAGAATATTAAAGTAAAAAAAGAAATCTCACATCTAAAAGATTAAAAAAAGATTATGATATATAAAAAATCAAATACTTAGGCTATTTTGGTGAAATATACTATCCTAAAGCATACTTAATATAAAAAATTTAACATGATACATAGTAGATACTCACATCTAAAAGATTAAAAAAAGATTACTTAGGCTATTTTGAAATACATCCTAAAGCATATTTAACATGATTATACATTATATAGATACAATGAATACACATTAACTCTTATAATATCAAATCTGATGATTCAATCATAGAATACACTGGTGGACCTGAATTTCTTGAAGTGCATTTCATCCGACCTGACCACTTTGATAATTTTTCAGGTATAGATAAACTTTGGTCCTCTAATTATATTATAAATTTCAGTTTAAATGATTATGTTTTGTGTCCATTTTTATTATTTTAAAAAATTAAACTTAATATGTCAACATTTGAAAATATTTTGTTAGCATTTAAAAGTTTGATGTAAAAATTTTCTATTGATAAAATTAACAGTGTTAGAATTAAATGACTAAAAAAATACTTTATAAAATTAAGTGATCAAAATTAAATATTTTATAAAATTAAAAGATTAAATGTATATTTTCATATAATTTTTCCTAAGGGGTAGGGTTAATTAAGTGGCTGACCTTAATGAGACGGCCATGACATAGGTAATTGCAAGAGCAAGGTTCAATGTAGCTGTGACATATGTTACAGATACGAAGGTCAAGGATAGAAGATAAATATTTTGATATAAGGATCCCCTGAAATATGTAAAAATCCATGTAATTAGAAATTGTATATTAGAGAGATATTAAGTGTATATCATTTTGACAATATTATCGTAGTTTACTAGATGCAAGATCCGTACTAGTGATGATCATCATACAGATATATATTTCCAAGATTGAGAATGAATTTAATTAAGCTAAGCTAAGGATTTGATACATACCCAAATAACCCACAAAGAAAAGCTTGGAATAGAACCATCCTATTAATTGTTCGGAGGCTTTCCGTGTGCATAGAACAAGAGCAATGAAGGATTGAGAAAATGATAATTCTCATCGATCTGCAAGTCATATAATTAATATTAATGATTATGTATTCAAAGTACGTATATATACTGTATATGCATGCATGAACCTTTCAAAGAAGAGAGCAAGAGGAACAATGAAGAAGGTTGAAAACAGGAATCTATAGGCAACAATAACAGTCAAGCTCAATTCATGATCTGCTGCCATTTTATACAATATATTCGTCCCTGTAAATATGATCTGAACTAACACCATTAATACTATAGCCTTCACATGTATACCATATCACTTAATTCATCCACTTAGGTGAAATGATGAAGAAGAAGATGATGATGATCATGAAGTACGTAGGAAATCAATATATATACTAGTAGTATAGAAATTAGTGGAAGTATAATATTGATTTATGTCCTTTTGGTTTATCAGATAGGCATGCATGGAAAATGAACTTTAGCACTCATAAAAAGACATTATGACTTTTGCTTTTAAAAAAATTACGAATAGGTCCCATATAACATATTTATGTGTATGGGAAGAATATTTCTCCACTTTTCAGTATAGAGTATCTAACATTCTAAAAAAAAGTTAAGAGAGAAAAATAATATTTAATCCTTTTTTATTGACATTTAACTCAAATATTTTAATTTTTAGGGACAATTAGGTGCTTATATATATATATATCAATCCATACATTCCCACGTTTTATGATATTGACTCGGCTCATGGTGATCTTGATAATCGCAAACTTTTGAAGAGGTTACATAATCACTAAGAATCGTATTATTTACTTGTACTACATTTTTGATATAACAATCAAATATAATTTAAGTTAATATATTTTTTGTTAGGGCTGTGTGATTTTTCGTGGAAATATTGGACTCCTACACCAAATCGAAAAAGCCGATCCAACCGATTACTGCAACTGGATAAGAATAAAGGTATGTATCATTTTATTATTTATAATTGATTATTTGGCTTATGTTTTAATCTCTCTCTCCTCTCTCTCTCTCTCTCTCTCTCTCCAAATATATTGTTTTGGGTTGCTATAGAATTATTCGGATATCCACCTTCCAGGGGTACTCTACCAGATATTTGACAAATTTTTACAGGATTTTATATATAATTTTCTCTGAATGCTAAATTTGGCATATTAATTAACATTTTTTAAATTTTAATTTGGTTTATAACATAACAAAATTTGGACATTGACTTTTTTTTAATTGTTTTTACAGGGACATAAACAAATTGACTACTGGCAGTTTGCATACTATGCTATGAAATATTCATGAAAGATATTATCATGCATGGAGAAATAGATTTTGTTTAGAATAATGGTCATAATGTACCGTGCAAGGATGGAATAGAGAAAGAAAATGAAAAAAAAATATTTAAAAAAAAAACATCTACAAGAACGTTTTTGGAAATGCTTTTATATATATGAGAGTGCCTATTTTTAGAGCGTTTTGAAAACACTTCAAAAGGGTTAAAAAAACGAAAAAACAAGAAGACTTCAATGGGGTTTTATTGTGATAACAATGCAATTTGCATACTGCACACCCCACATGCCATTCAAATCTGTTCCCAATTGCATCCGCATTAGTCACCAAGTGCTTTTCCCTTCAAACAATCAAACTAGCCTTTTATTTCGAGTTAAATGATTTATGTCGTTTATTTTAAATTAATTTTTATATATAATTATTATTGTACTTATGAAAAAAAAAATTATAAAATTATAACTCAATTTGTAAAAAAATATAAAAAATTTAATATTAAATTATACCATTTAGATCATATCTATATTGGCCTTATTGGTGATTAATAGATTTATTAAATTTTTTATTTTATTAAATATAAAATAAAAATTAAAAAAAGGCTTTAAATCTGGATAGTCTGATCTCATCAGGTGGTGCTGATCACCCTTAATGAGTGCCGAAGATGGTTCATATTTATTATTAAACTTTTTTATAAGTTTTTATTTGATAAATCTAATATTAAAAACACCTGAAAATTAATTTAAAATGAATGGTAGAAATTATTTATAGATAAAATAAATGGTCAGGATGATTGTTTAGGATAAGCACTCGCGCATGATTGAACAAAAAGAAAAACACAATAAAATATATATATATATATATGTGTGTGTGTGTGTATAATAGAGCAGAGCTGAAAAATAGGCCAGCGTGACTCTTCCAAGCCTAGCCTATGGCTTGAGCCGGAAAAATGTCATTTGATTCTTCTCTATTACCTTTAACATCCCCTTAGAAAACTAACAAGCTAAGGAAAGAACAGAACACAACACGGTTAGATTCTCATGATGAGCAACAAAGCTTATTACATAAAAATAAGCAAATGCATGGGTGCTCTGAAATTCACTCATATATAGCTGCAATCCACAAGAACCCAGTAACTTGGTCAACCCAAAACTGATACCCATAGCCACCAATCCTCCACACACAATCCTCAAACACATGATCTCAAAATGGGACTCTTTCCCAACACAGCTCCTATGAATCCAAATGCTATCAGAGCCAAAGTAGCCACAATCAGAACCACCATCGACTTCATCTTACAATCTGATATAAATGCAGAAGCAAGCAGAGGAACCAGAGCTCCAATGCTAAATGACCATGCTGATGCAACTGCTGCTTGAAATGGATTTGGCAGTTTCATATCCCTCATCTTCTCCATCATCATTGCTTTGGCTTCTGTTTGAACAGCTCTCGCACCCATCATCAGTGCAGAAACTGAAACCAGACCATCAGTGGCTCCCAATATTGCAGCACGAAGCTAGTGAGCCCCTTGAGAGTAGTCTAGCTTATAAGTTTCTTTGGCTGGTATTTGGGTGGTTTTTTTCATGATCATCTTCATCATTTGTTTGGATTGGGCTACGGAGATTGAATGGCATTGAGCCATAGACAAGAAGGAGAATGAGAGTGAGAGAGATTCAAGGACTTATAACGAGAAATTGAAGGTATAAGAATGTTGTCATTTATGATGAGTGATTCATTTACTTGGAAGTTTGTTTCTGGAAGCTCTACCAACTGACAAATGACAAAGTTCTTCGCTGTGTCTTTATCAAAGGACAAAAAATGAAGCTGACTATTATCTCAGCACTCATCTTTGACTACAACATATCCAGAAAGTAGGCATATAGGAAAAATGTTTAGAATCAGAATATCTTTCTGAAGGAATATATATAAACTTATATATAATATCATTTCAGAATATTTTACAGATACTCACAAAATCGACAACTTCAAATACAAGAGATTTTGTTACATAATATCCAAAAAAAAAAAAACAAATCTCAAATCTTTGAATGGGATAATCTAAGTCAAGAGTGTTTTAATTATAATGATTGTTTTGAATTTTTTAAAGAAAGATGTATTTTAATAGTTTTTAAATATTGATAAAATTCAATGATTGTAATGGAGACATTCATTGGGTAAGTAAACTTAAACTACTCACCAAATTTAATTCCACCTTGGATTCTATTGGGAGAAAGTTTTCTAATTATTTGCATCCTTTTCACTGAAGTTGTTGTCTTGAGGATATTGATTGGAGAGTCGCTTACCAAAGCAATATTCTTTTGAGAGAATTATAATTAGGTTTTACATAAAAAATTAATTACTACAAAATTCATTGATAACTGAACTAAATTGTATTGACAATAGATTCTGTTGTCAATACAGTTTAACTCAATTATCAATAGACTTTGTAATAATTAATTTCTTTACGTGAAACTTTACTGTAATTCTCTCTATTTCTTCTTGTTCTTAATTAACACCTCAAATTAAAACCATTTTATTATTTGTATCCATGAATCAAGAACATGCATTAATTCATTTAATTGCATATATTCTTTTATAGTTACTAGTCATCTAGTATACACTTATGGGATATATATTCCTAACCTAATATATTTTTTTTAGAAATTCAAAACTATTTATTACTTCTTTTGCCATTAGAACCTTATTTATATGAATAATGTAGAAATATCTTAATATATTAAATTAAGGTTGGCAATGTGGTGAATAATTGCACTCTAAAAGATACAAGAAACTGGAAAATAAAAAAGGAATGCCGAAGGAACAGATGATCATGAGCCAGAGAATAATGAAATCTCCAAATTTTCATACAAATCTAATCCCATTCCCTTCTGCATGCCCAAAATGAAATTAAAAGAAAAATAAAAAGACAAAACCAAAGGTTGATGAATCACCAAATACCAACAAAAAAAAAAAGAGCTTAGGTTTTACATTGACATAATTTATATAACTTTGCAGGTCTTGATCTCCAACTTCTTTTTCTTCTTCTTCTTCATCATTCTGACTCTGGTTTTATATCTTTTTCCCCCTTCCTTTGCCTCCTCTGTTTCTTCGGGCTTCGCTTCCTCTGCCTTGGCCCCTTCTTTCTTACTAGCTTCCTCTGCCTCCTTTGTTTCCTTCTTCCATTATGCCAGACACATGCATTAAAAAATTCATTATAACCCAACAATCATGATCCTTTTTTCTTTTTCTTTTTTTTTTTAGAATTTGAACCCAGACAAAGAATAAAAGCTTTCAATTGTTGTATGACTTTCATTCACGATGGCAAAAAAAAAAAAAAAAGGCTCCACTTTTTTAAAATAACCACGACAGAAAAAGGTCAGTTTTTTTATTCTTGAAAAACTTCACCATCTTTTATTTTACCCAAACTCATTAATTTTTTTTACTTTAATCATTTCACCAAAGCAACATGATATGTATCAGATTCACTTTTCTTTGAATATTTTATCATCTCTTTTATCTCTCTGCTTTTCTGGACATATTACACCAGTAACTTTTATTATTATAGGAGTTTTGAAACATTTGCATTGTTTTACCTTCCAGAGATAAAAACTAAGCAAGTTCATGAACTTGTTTTAGATATTCAAGGAAATTTAAATGAAAACCATACTTATAGATATCCTCTAATATTGATACATAGGAAGTTCCATTACACGTATGTAAGTCATGAACAAAGTCGTTCGTTTTGATTCTTCTGACAAAACTTGGATTCACAGTCTAGCCCAGTTTAAATATAAAAACTATAGAAAAATCATTGATCAGTATTTATAAACTTAAAATGAATCACACAATTTGTAAGACAAGAGTCAAATGAAATAAGGAAAGAAAACCAGTTCCTCAGTAAGCAGAATGCTTAGAGACTTCTCATCAGAGGCAGAAGGGGCAGCGTCAGGCTTGTTCTCCTCTGCCTCAGTTGCTCGCCCGCTGCCGCTGCCGCAGCCACCTCGTCCTGTTTTCGGTTGTGGGGCTTCTCCTCCTGGCTCCTGCTTCTCTGGACCAGCGTTCATTATAGAGGGTAGCATATGTTGCAGATGCCATGGCGAAGGCTAGAATAAAGAGATCATGTAGTAAGGATTCCCCGTGAATAATAATGTTTAGAAATGGAGCCATGAGGTGGTGGTATATAAGTTTGTTATTGTATTGTCGTTTAAATGTAATATTTACATTCATTATAATATAAGAGGTATAAGAGCGCACCGGTCAAGCATATAGAGCACGGTCCTATTTAATCAGAATTCGAACCATACTCCAAGAGTACTGAGAATGAATCTGGTAATATATCAAACTCATAATGTATTCAAGCCAAGCATCTGATCATAGTTAAGGGTAACAGAAGATACCCAAATATGCCACAAAGAAAGCTTGGATTCTGGATATTTTGTTTAGAATTGAATGCATGAGAATCTCGATTAATATCTGCCAGACCATTCAAAGTCTCGAATCCAATTCCATTTTCGTTTCTCGTGGGACCACATGCATGATGCACCGCGGACCCATTCAAACATGTGGGGTGGGTCTACACGTTTTCTCTTATCACTTCTACCTAATCATGTTCACCCAAACCAAAAGAAAAGAAAAACAATAAAGTCTTGACCCCGAGTCATTGACGAAGGTTCAAAGAAAGTGTGATACAGTAGCATAAAATCCTCAAACATCTTGGCCATTCCTGTGCCTAAAATTTCTTTCACTCGTTTCTGTTTGAATGTCCTTGTACTCGTACAAGTGTGATCTCCCCAAGTGTTGTGGTGCTTTTTTGTAGACTTCAAATGGCCGATGCTGCTGTTAGTTTCGTCTTGGACAAGTTTTCTCTCCTTGTGGAGAGAAGCCAGTTTGCTATATGGCGTGGAGGACAAAGTGAAGTCCCTTCAAAGTGAACTCAGAATGATGAATGCCTTCCTTGAGAGCTCTGAGCAGAACAAGATGAAGAAGGAAATCGAAGCAGAGGTTGTACGTCAAATCATAGACGTGGCACATGAAGCTGAGGATGTCATCGACACCTTTGTTGCTAACGTTGCCAACCACCAAAGGAGACATCGGTTTTCAAGGATGCTCCACGTTGCTGACCACACAAAGTTGCGATACCGTGTTGCAAAGAAAATTAACAACATTAAGGCCAAAGTCAAGCAGATCCTTGACAACAAGCAGATATACGACACCCAGGAAGGGAGAATCTTCTTCAAATCAGGAATTACAGCTATTGCAGAAGAAGCAAGAATGTACGTGGAGGAGGAAGATGTGGTGGGTTTTACCATGACTCAATTGAAGTAATCAATCGCCTCAAGCAAGGAGCATCACGTCGCAGTGTTGTGTCCATCATACGTACGGGGGGAGGGGTAAAACCACTCTTGCCCGTAAGATCTACAACAATCATGACATCCAGGATTACTTCCATTGCCGCGCTTGGGCCTTTGTGTCTAATGACTATAGCCCCAGGAGCTTTTGGCTTGCCTTCTCAAATGTTTGCCATCAACCTTTGCAGATACAAGTTACACTAACAGCAACACCAGCGAGCATAAGCGGGATGATTTTTATAGTTTGATGGAGGACGAATTGAAAGAGAAGTTGCGAGAATGTTTGAAGGGTAAGAGGGTATCTTGTAGTCTTGGATGACCTATGGAATACTCAACACTGGGATGACCTCCATTATGCTTTTCCTGATGACAGTAAAGGCAGTAGAATCTTGATCACAAGTCGACTGAAAGATGTGGCTCTTCCTATGCTAGCCCATCTCCTCCTTATTGTCTCCGTTTTCTTGATAAAGAAGAAAGTTGGGAGCTTTTCTCGAAGAAGGTGTTTCGAGGAGAACATGTGCCTTCTGATCTAGAACCTCTAGGTAAGCAAATGGTAGCGAGATGTGGTGGATGCCACTCTCCATTTGTTGTTTGGCAGGGATTCTAGCACACAAGGATAAGTCTCGCTCGCCAAAAATGGTCCAAGATCAAGGGCCATGTCAATTCATATCTCACTCAACCAGATACCAAAGTCACTAATATATTACTCAACTCAGTTTTGACAATTTGCCTCGAAGATTGAAACCATGCTTTTTATATTTTGGCATGTTTCCTGAAGACTATGAGATTCCTGTTAGGCAGTTGATCCAACTGTGGATTGCGGGAAGGTTCATTGTTCAAAATGATTCAGAATTTTAGAAGATGTTGCGGAGGACTATTTGGATGAACTCGTTAATCGGAGTTTGATTCAATTGGGAGAAGGAGAAGTGATGGGGGTATCAAGACATGTCAAATCCATGATCTTATGGGACAACTTTTGATATCTAAGGCAGGGAGGAGAAGGCTTTTGAGGTTTGTAGAGATGGGGGACGTTTTGGAGGAAACCAAACCTCGCAGGCTATCCATTCAATGTAGCATGGCTAGTTATGTTGGTTCAAGCAACAAAAAACCATTCAAGCACTCGTTCGATGCTTTGCTTTGACCAGGCTTCTATGACCTTAATTCAAGCGAGTTTGAAGGGTTTTTGAAAGGGAGCCAATTGGTTCGGGTACTGGATCTTGGGATTCCATCTTTTTTTCGGGCTGAAGATCCCCGCCAATTTAAAGATGTTGATTCATCTAAGGTACTTAAGATTAAGAATAGACACAGAATTATCCATTCCAGAATTCATATGCAACCTTTTCAATCTAGAAACTTAGACTTGGGGCATTTAAATGGCGGGCTTCCTAGTGGAATATGGAAGCTCAAGAGCTCCAGACATCTTTATACGAAAGCATCAATGATTCTTCCAAAGTTTCTAGATGCTGAAAGTAGAATCATGTGGAATTTACAAACAATATCTCGGACTGCTCTAAGTCCCAAATCGGACGTTGCATCTCTTATAAAGAAAGGCGTATTCCCAAAGCTTAGAAAATTGGGATTGCGTTGTAACACTAAGGATTATGACGGACAAGAAGAGCTCAATCATGTTTTGGGATGCCTCAGACGCCTAAATTATCTGAGCACATTGACAATTTTCCTGCACCAAGGGGACTTTCCAACATCCTCTATTGCCTTTCTTTCCAACCTTACGGAATTAACAATATCGTCGTTTCGTTTAAAAGACAATGTAATGAGCACTTTGGGGAATCGTTCCAACCTTCAAATTTTGAAACTAGCTTTTTTTCATATCTCAAATGTGTTCAATCAGCTCTGTTGCCTTAGTGGGTTCCCCCAGCTAGAGGTGTTTCAAATGAAAGAAGGCTTATCTCTCTTATGGTTGGAAATTAGGGAAAGATGTGATGTCTAGTCTCAGACGTTTGATTATCATAGAGTGCTATGATTTGAGTGCTCCCCTGGTGAGCTCTGGTCCCTTGCTTCCTTACTAGAGGTACAAGTGCTTGGTCCGTCCACTAAATCACTGAAGAGGCAACTTCAAAGTCGACCTATGAGAGATGGATGCAATCTCGTCATCTCAAACTGAGCCACAAATTCAAACAACTGCTTCAATGAGCCTTATTTGAAGACTAGTTATATCATTTCATCATTTGCAATGCTCAGGTAATCTTTCATTTCCACGTCTTGCATTGTATGTTATACGATGTTTGTCTATGTCATTGAAATGATTTTTTCCCCTATTAACAAAGTCTCCTATTGCCATATTGCAAGCCCCTGCTAAACACCCATGTCATTGATAGGGAGCTAGTGTTTCAATTGTTTAAGTCTTGTAATTTTGTGATTATGTTAGATATTATAAGTTAATATTTTTTGAATATTTATAATTTATAAAGCTGCAATCCACAAGAACCCGGTAACTTGGTCAACCCATAAGTGATGCCCCGTAGCTACCAATCCTCCACAGTACACAACGCTCACACATGATCACAATATGCGAGCCTTTCCCAACACGGCTCCCACATATCCAAACACTATCCAAAGCCAATGAAGCCACAATGACAACCATCATTAGCCTTATCTTATAATCTGATATGAATGCAGCGGCAGGCAGAGGAACCAGAGCTACAATACTAAATGACAATGCTACTTGAAATGGATTTGGCAGTTTCATATCCCACATCACCTTCTCCATCTGCTTCTCTTCATCATCATCTTCACTCATTTCCCTCTTCATCTGTCCAACTTCAAAATCATACTGTGTGTACACTGACACAAACTCTCCTGTTGCCATGCTGCAATCTCTTGCCACTGTCCCGACAAAACCAGCAAGAATCATTGCTTTGGCTTCTGTTTTTAACAGCTCGTACGCTCATCATCAGTGCAGAAACTGAAACGAGACCATCATTGGCTTCTAATACTGCAGCACAAAGCCATTGAACCCTTTGAGAGTTGTCTAGTTGATCGGTTTCTTTGGTTCCAGTTTGGGAGGTATGTTCTTGATCATCTTCATGGTTTTAAAAATAATTTATGCTAGCTATTATCTCAGCACTCATCTTTGACCATAAAATGTCCAGAAAATTGTTTAGAATCAGAATATCTTCCCGAAGGAGTATGTATAAACTTATAATAATGCTGAGTTTAATTCCTTTTGAATTTATGTCAGAACTCTAAGGCAAGTTGAATTGGTAATTTGAGTGAGTTGAGCTTATTTAAATTGAATTTAAAATACTTAAATATTTAAAATTTTATATAGTCAAACTCAACCTTTACTTTTTTGAGTTTCAGTTTGGCCTGAATAATTGAATTGTTAAAAAAAATTCATTTTTTAAACAAGTTTTAAATTTTTTTATGTTAAAAGTAATTATTTTTAATTTACTGAAAAGTATAAATATAGTTTTTAGGATGCTTAATAAAGTAGAAGACTCAAAATTTTTTATAAAAAAAATCATTATGGATCTTAAAGTTGAAAAATAAAGATTAAAATATATTTTAAATATTATTGTGAGGTATATTATTATATTTTTAATATAATAATATGAACATTTTTTTTTTTTTTAAGAAAATATCTATTAATAATGTACTAAAATTTAAGGAATTAATTACTATTCAATATCTTTTATATATTTTTAAAAAAAATTGTTCAAGTATCAAGTATTTGGCTTGAGCTCAAATTTAATCGAGCTTGACTCAAATTTTTTTAGGTTATTCGTCCCAACTTAGAACATTAAAAAAATCTAATGTTTTATTAAGCTCAGTTCTAGATTTTTTTTAAATTTATTTAGGTTAGTCAGAATTATCAGCTTTAGGAAGAGGCTAGACAAGATGCATAATATCATCTCAAATATTCTATAGACACTCACACATTGGACAACTTCAGATTCTGTTTGGGAGAAAGTTTCCTAATTATTTGCATCCCGTAACATCACAATTTAAATTTTTTGAGTTAATTAGAGCTAATAAAAATTAAGGAGATGTTTAAACGTAAATAAATTAATTAAGAGATTTTTTATTTAACTTAGGATATAATTTTATGTCAAATTTTGCTTTTAGAAATTTAAAATAATAATGATAAGTGATGATATATATATATATATATATATATATATATAATAAAGAGAAGACTTAATGAAGAAGTACATTGTAAGTTAAAAAAAAAAAGGAACAAGAAGAAGAGGCAGTGGAGTTGAGGCCAATATATATATCTTATTGGCTTTGCTTCCTTATTTTCATTTTCACGCAGACAAGAGATAGAGAGAAGAGGAAGGAGAGGATAAGAAATTTGAGCAGATTTTGAGATAAGATTTAACAATGAGAACTATAAATTAATATTTAAATTTTATCAATTTAGATTTATTCTATTAACTGATTTGAGAGTTTAAAATTAATGTTTTAGCTATAAATTTTGTGATTTCTATGTATAGGATATTCATATTGTTTAAATTGTGTTTTCAAGACTTAGACAAGTTAACTTAGCTTTGCTTTGGATTTTATTGGGGGGATTTAGATTGAAGGATTGGTTGTAAATTTAAAGAGTTTAGTTGAATTGATAAATTACAATATATATATATATATAATGCTATTTATATCATTCAATATCACAGATTAATATGTTATTATAGCTAAAAAGTTTCCTACACGTCTGAGTTAATTATAGCTTGAAAAAGAGGTAACATTAAAATATCCTTTTATATATTGAAATACTAGTTTTTATTATTTTGTGCGTGTGCGTGTGCGTGTGCGTGTGCGTGTGTGTGTGTGTTCTGATGACAATGTACCTTTAACCAAATATAACCTCAATTTAAACTCCCCCAGCTAGCAGTAATAAAAGAGTTGGGAGCCATACGGGTAAAGTTGGGAAATGTATCGCTATTGTTTTAATTTAATATTGATTTAGAAATTGTTATATAATTGTAAACATTGCATCCCTGTTTTGTGTATTTATTGTGAGATACACATGTATATTCATAGATATGTTTGCAAACTAGTTTTAAAAAGTATGTTAGAATAACCAACTGTTATTAAGATTTTGATCTCACATGTTACTTCTCATCTTTTTTAGGTTAGCAATCAAGTAGAGCTACAAGGGGGGCACCGAAAAAGCGAGTTTGGGTTCCCTTCTCTCGGCTTAGCATGTGGTTTTCTGTTTATTTTGTAATTATAGTTTTCATAACCTAAGAGCCCTTTATAAATTTTATTTTGAATAATTGTTATAGGTTATTTGACAAGAACTACTCAATCTTTTTATTTAAGCTGAATAACTTTTAAACATATCGATCTAGACCATAATTTTTTATTGGGCCAAGCCTATTTATTTTGGATAATACATATTAATGGCAAAAAAAAAAGTGTATTTAACAGAATTGGTTATAGCTATAAACTGCTGTTGAACTCTAAACTTGTTGCAAATTATTTATTGGACTTCATTTACCTTAAGTCTAACTGTGATTGTTAATCTTAATGTCGTTTTGTTTGGATAGGTATATTTTTTAAAAAAATATTTATTCATAAAGGAAAAAGTGGGGAGGTTTTCTTTTGTAAAAAAATGATAAAAATTAGGTCGGTTGCACATCCACTTCACTGAAGTTGAGGATATTGACTTAAGAGTCGCTTACCAAAGCAATATATCTTTTTATTCTAAGACAACACTTTAAATTAAAACCATTTTATTATTTGTAATTTTGTATCCAAGAATGAAGAACATGCATTAATCACACACACACACATATTATAGTTGTTAGTCCACACTTATGGGATATATATTCCTAACCCTGCCAAAAAAAGGAAAGTGATGTGTTCCTTACCTATAAAAAGGACTGTAGAGATAAGAACTCAGGGATTAGACTTTAAACAATTTTTTTTAGTGAACTAAGTGTGAGGGTTGGCTCAATAAGAGTTTGAGTCATTGACGTAGTCATGATATTCATCATTAATCATTTTAATTGAGGGTAATTAATAAAACTTAAAAAGGTGGCATTCTTTTTTCTTCAGTCAACAGAATTAGAAAATTCACAAGCTTTGTCGAGTCACGTTAAATGACAACGGGAAGCTAAAAGCTTGTAGCTCAATTGACATGATCCATATTCCTTAATGCAAAGATTCCTAAACCAAATCCCCAAGTGATCTGGAAAAAATATTATTTAGTGCCTGTGGTATTGTGTATGTGAAATTTTTTTTTATACTTTAATTTTTTTTTATTACTTTTTTACTCTCTATTTTTTTCATTTTTTTCTTTTTTTTTGTTTAGACTTGTATTTTTTTTAGTTTCAGAGGCCTCGAGTCTATTCAATTTCTCCTCATTTTTATTCTTCTTTTCTCTTTTCTTTTCTTTTTTTTAATATATTGTTGTAATTTTTTTATCTTTTATTTTTTTCCTTTTTTTTGTTCTCTTTCTTTTTTTGGTCCCCCAACCGAATAGCTCATGATTCCACGTTAAATTTATTATATTAAGTATGTTTAAGGATAGTATGCTCTATCAAAATAACTTAAATTATTTAATTAGATACTTCCTGAACTTTATATATCATAATCCATTCTCTAATTTTTAAATGTGAAATTTTTTTTTTACACTCTAATATTATGTGCCTGTGTCTGATGTGCCTGTGTGGACTCGCCTTCTCCATGGAGAAGGGTTAGATATCATAGTTTTAAAAAAGAAAAAAAATTGAAGCTTGGAAATCATTTGACTGGCCAGACTTCATTAGATCAACACTTAGCCAAACAAAAGGTGACAAAACATTTGAACTCTCTCTGCCTCGTAATATAAATTTTGTAAAAAATTCAAAGCAACATTTATTAAATTATTTTCTATTAGAACCTTATTTATATGAGTAATGTAGAAATGTCTTAATGTGGTCAATATTTTACTATATCAATTGCACTTCAAAAGACTTGTATTTTAAGATGGAGGGAGTATTTTTGAAATTTTTCTAGAACAGATGATCATGACCCAGGGAATAAGGAAATCTCCAAATTTTCATACAAATCTAATTCCATTCTCATCTGCATGCGCAAAATAAAATTAAAACAAAAATAAACTCAAAAAGAAAGGACAAAGGTTGAAGAATCACCAAATACCAACAAAAAAAAAAATGAAGAAGGAGGAGGAGGAGGAGGAGGAGGAGGAGGAGGAAAAGGCTTAGGTTTTACATTAACATATTGATATAACTTTACAGGCTCTTAGTCTCCACCATCATCTTCATTTTCACTCTGCTTTTTTCTCTTCCTTTGCCTCCCCTGTTTCTTCAGGCTTCGCTTCCTCTGCCTTGGCCTCTTCTTTCTTATTAGCTTCCTCTGCCTCCTTTGTTTCCTTCTTCCATTATGCCAAACACACACATTAATTACAAAAATCATTATTCACCCAACAATCATAATCATTTTTTTTTAAGAATTTAAACCCAGACAAACAAATAAAAGCTTTCAATTGTTGTATGAATTTCATCATTCACAGTGGCAAAAAGAAAGGTTCCACTTTTTGAAAGTAAACTCCTGCAGAAAAAAGGTGAATTTTTTTTATTCTTAAAAAACTTCACCATCTTTTAATTTTACCCAAGTTATCATTAAATTATTACTTTAAGCATTTCACCAAAAGAACATGACATGTATCAGATTCACTTTTTTAAAAATATTTTAACATCTCTTGAGATATTACCTCAGTAACTTTTATTATTATAGGAGTTCTAAAACATTTGCATTTGTTTTACCTTCCAGAGATAAAAACTAAGCAAGTTCATAAAATTGTTTGAGATATTCAAGGAAATTTAACTGAAAAACCAATACCTACAGATATCCTCTAATATTGATATATACGAAATTGCATTACACAAATACAAGTCATGATCATAGTCATTCATTTTAGATTTTGGACCAAACTGGGATTCATAGTCTAGACTAATTTAAATATAAAAACTATGGAGAACATCGTAATTTACAAACTAAAAATGAATCACACGATTTATAAGGCGAGTCAAATGAAATAAGGAAAGAAAAATCAGTACCTCAGTAAGCAGAGTGCTTAGAGATTTCTCATCAGATGCAGAAGGGGCAGCTTCAGGCTTGTTCTCCTCTGCCTCGGTCTTGCTCGTCGCCGCCGCGGCCGCCTCATCCTTTTCCGGTTGTGGGGCTCCTCCTCCTGTTTCTCTGGTCTTTGGTGCACTCCCACAGTTTCCCATATCAACAATTCTTAGTTTCAAAGCCTTGAAGAAGAGATAACAGTGGAAGGTAAGGTTGAAGCAGAGAATGTGAAATGAATGAAGGGTCTTTTCTGTGATTTGTTAGGTTAAAGTTTTGGTATTTATGGATTGAGATATTTTTTGGGAAGCCCAATAGCTGCAAATCAATTATTGTTGTTCATGGGTTATTTCAGGCAATGTTGTTGGTGATGATTATATTATAATATATATATATATACACACACACATAGTTTCTGTGGAATCATAGTTGGGATGTTTACAGCTATGTTTTTGATTGGCAATCACAGCCTGTGATTGTGGGCAATCAACCAACCTCTTTTGTTTTAAACAATGTATTGAAAACTATTGGCTTTTTATTATTATTATTTTATATAACCTCTTTTGTTTTAAACAATGTATTGAAAACAATTGGCTTTTTATTATTATTATTTTTTATAAGTTTGAGGTGGGCCATATACATTGCATGAAATTTAAGACATCCATATGATGAGTCATAATGTTTATGATTTATGAATAGTAATATTTGTTAGACACTTAGATTAGATTTTAAATTACTTATATTAATGTTGTTCTTTTTTTTACATATATAAGTAAATGTATTTCAAATATTTTATTTTTTTGGGTTAATCAAAAGAGTTTGAACAATCTTTACTCACATCCTATCCCACTGCTCTTAGTCTGAACTCGTATCAAATAAACTTTTTTTTTTTTGGTTATTTGAACAGCATGGAGGAAAAAGTATTCCTGTTCTTGGGCACATTCTAGAAAATTAATTTCCGTTATTTAAAATTGGAAACTAAAAAATGAATTTCTCGAATTAAAATTGGTTCACTATATTTATATGTCTCTTGACAAATATTTTACAGATTCAACCCATGTCATAATATTTAAAAATTTTCAAACAATAAAAAATATTGTCAGCTGTTCTTGGGCCTGACTTTTCATGTTGTGCAATGTGTAGGATTTGTTTGTATAGCTAAGAACCCTTTGTGATTTACAAAAGTTTATTAAAACAATGTATTATTATTTTTCAGCATATTTATTTCATTTAAATTTTTGATTGAATTATAGTAATAAGATTTTCTGAAATTTTAATAATTTTTATTTTAAAAATATTACATAAAATGAAATAAAAAAGTCTTGTACTAGTAAACTTTAAAATAATGATTGAAAATCTATAATAGTTGGGTCAAGTAAAAAAAGATGCAATAACCCTTAAACAAGTTTTTGAATTGATATCTCACGAATAATTGGCCAAAAAAAAAATCTCATGAATAAAAAATTACATTGTGATAGTTTTCTTTCATTTGGGATCTAATGCCACTCAAATCCAATTTGATCAGTATCAGAGACCAGATCATTATTAAAGCGGTTAATTTAAATGTGATTTTATAAAAGCATTAAATGTGCTAAAAAACATAATAATAATAATAATAATAATAATAATAATAATAATAATGCTCTATGAAAGAGAATATTCTCAGGCATATTCACATATCTTTACATATTTCAGTATAAAAATTTTGCAGTTAACTACAATGATTAACGTGTTGGTGGAAGGAGGATCTTTAGTTTAAAGTTTAAACACAAAGTCACGTTGAATCTTAGTACTCCCTCCATTTTAAATTATAAGATATTTTTAAAAGAGTTTTTTTATCTTAAAATATAAGACATTTTAGGTAAATTAAGGTTTCATTAAATGCATCAATTTCAATATGATCCTTTCTCTCTCTATAATTAATGACTGTCTCTTCTCTTTTCAATATATTAAATTATGGATATTTTAAAAATTTATATTTTTATTTTGGAAAGATAAAATTGTTAGGTGTATTTAATGAAGTTTATTAGTATGTGAAATTTTGTCTAAAAGTGTCTTATAATTTAAGATGGAAGAAGTATTAATTATATAATTCTTTATTTCATAGTGTTAGGAAAGGTTTGAAAAAAAATAACAGGATAAGATAATATCCATAAAAAACACATATCCACAGATAATTAATATTAGAATAAACGCGTATCTAAGAAATAATTTTTTTTAGTCAATTATAGTCATTGCAAGAATAATTTTACCAAGACGAATTTAAATTATGGCATCTCTTTCACCTTTTTCGTTACATGATTAGACAATGTAATATTTAATTAAAAAAAGAGAGAGAACTGCAGAATAATTGATTCTTATTCTTCTCTTTAATAAAAGCTCTTGCAGAATCTCAGCCACATTAAAGAGACAGGCAAAATTTTTTAAAAAAAATTAATATGCCAATGAAACATTTTATATGATACTAACAAAATTAGAACAAGCATTGAATATAGAGGGTGAGCGACATGTTATGATTGAAAATGAAATTGATATTTCTTTGACTTTGTTTGCAAGCCCCATGCTTGAATGTCGCGTGCTTGATTACTCAAATAAATTAATTAAATTTGTGACCTTTTTTCTATAAATATTCAACCGCGACTGCATTTGATATTCATTCATAATATTAATTAATAAATTTCCACAACCTTTGATGATCCCAAAAAGTGAAAGCGTTCCCAGTCACCTTTTTGGAAAAAAAAAAAAGTGAAACTTCAATTTAGTTAAGCAATTGTTGCAAATCAGGCAACAAAGATGACCCAGGCACGAAGAAGGAGGAATGAGTGAATGCGAATGTAAGACTGCAAAAGGAGACAACAGAGTGAGAGTAGTTTTAAAATTAGTGGCTCTCTCTCCAATGGTGTTAAAACCCAACCGGCAGTCGTGAACTAGTCATCTAACCAGTCTGATTAAAGAGTTTTGGACAGGTCAATTGATTTGGATTTAATATTTTTTCCTTTCCTTTTTGAGCTAGTCAATTCAACCAGTTGAATCAGGAATTAATATTTTAAAAATCAGACTGAACCAGCCAATTCAACCAGTTGAATTGAGAACCGGCTCTTGATTCAGTTCAATTGGCCTCTCAAAATCCGCCGCAAAAGAGCAGGTCAAAAACTCAAAAAATTAGTTGAAAATCAGACCAATTCCCTTAAAAATTGGTCTGAATTAACCAAAATTTAAAAAATTAATTTAAAAATTAATTAAAATAAAGAACAATTAAAAATATTTAATATTAATCATGTATTCATCAACAATATATCATTTTATCAAGCATTTATTAATATTTTTTGAAAAATATAAATATTTGTAAATATTTCTTATTTAATTATGATATATAAATTAAAAATATATTAATTTAATATCAACCGGTTCAATCATAGTTTAATTATGGTTGAACTAATGAACTGTAAACCAGTGGCTAATCCGATTCAACGATCGATCCAATTTTTAAAACTTTGCCTAAAACAACATCATTTTGAGTTGGAAAAAAAAGAAAGAAAGAAACAATAGTATTATGTCAAATTTATTTTAGTAACTCTATTTTGCTAGATTATGTGTGATTTATTAATTGATTGTTCCATATACTTGTAGATTAATGCCTTTTATTTAAGTATTACTAAAATCTAGGATGATATATGAATATTTTTCTATACTTTAATTCTATTATATCATTTTAATTATGATTAGGTTAACCTTAGATTTAATAATAATTGGACCATTAATCATTGAACCATTGTATTGACCAATACCTATTAACACATGGGACTCACTCCTTTTCTCCCCCCACTTTTCCTTCACCCATGTCTTCTCTAATAAGCCAAGCAAGGAAATATTAATTTTCTCCCCTCTCTCTTCTGCCAATGTTCTCTCCAGCCAAACACCGTGTAAATCCAAATAATGAATCTTGTCAAACACCATGTTTGAACCGAAAATTGAGTGAGACCCAACAGATAGGCCCAGTGAGAGTGGAGGTAGGGAGAGTACATAAAGATGAAGCATCGATTCAACAAAGACACGAACAGTGTGACCAATCAACCACCAGGGCATAAATGGTCTGGTTAGCCAAAAAATATGTAACAAGCAAGCACGAAGAAGAGTGGCAGGTCTTAAGTGATACAAAGTGCTAAAGGATGTGCAATAGCTGTGTGTTGGCGTCACTAAGGAGAGACAAACCATAGTCATTGTAAACCATAGTGATTAAAAGGACAATTATACTTAAACTATAAGTCAAAAGTACTCCCTCCTATCTTATTTATAAGACATTTTTTAAAAGTAATTTTTAATTTAAAATATGGAATATCTTGTAATAATTAAATCATTTTTTTCCAATTTTACACATTATTAATTAGCGTAAAGGTATTTAATATAATTATTTATTATTTAAAACTAAGTAAAAATGAAAGTGCATCTTACTTTTTTATTATATAAAAAATTAATTTTTTTTAAGATATTTGAAATAGTTGATAGTATCTTATAATAATGATCATAAACAATATTTGGAATGTTAAACCTTTTTTTTTCTAATACAATTTTGCCTCACATTTGAAAATGTTGTAATGTGCCCTTTCTTGTTAACTACAAGATAATATCTGTTAGTTTAGTGTTGTGGGGCTCTCACATTTCTCTCATACTACTTAACATTCAACATCCTTATGATCAACGAGAGGGGCAAATTACGACATCTGTTAATATTGTGAAGCAGAAGTGCAAAAAAAGGAGAAAAAAGGGTGGGGGGGGGGGAATCGATGCACATGGATTTATAGTTTAAATATATTCATCTTTTTATATTGTTGAGATAGAGATGTATTCTCTTAATACATCTCTATTTCAACACTCATCATCCTTTTGAATTTACAACGACTTGCATCACTCGACCTAAAAAATAAACGACAGAGAGATAATTTTAAAAAGTAAATATAAAATTATCACTAAATAAAATTTTGGAGTGCATTCTCAGATGATGAATCACTAAGCAAAATATCAAAAATGATTCTCAGAGAGCGAATCGTCAAGTAGGAAACTCAAGAGTGATTTTTGGACAAATGAAGCACTCTGTTCTGATTTTTTGGACCTTCACCAATTCACTTCACTATATGAATTAAACCTTTTACATTTATGTATTCAAAAAATAAGAACAAAAAAAAAACGCATAGCAACTTATGAGCCATCAATAAAAATTAACAATATTTTATAAAAAAATTTATTCATATTTTTTGTTATTATTAACTTATATTTAATTAGCATATATGTGTGTTTTTTTTATACGGCATAACAATATTTGTTAGTAAAATAACTGCAAAATAATAGTAGATGAGTTTATGATAAAAAATAAAATTTTAGGAAAATTAATTTTAAATTTTTAAAGGCAAAAAGTTCTATGCAATTGTATCAAAATTTAAAAGAGTTTTGTATATTTTAACCAAAATAAGGTTAATAATGTGTTGGCTCGATTTTTGTGAAGGGATAAGAGAGTTGCAACCTTTTTGAATATTTGAGTCTGCCAAGCATACTAGAGAAGTATGTCCTCAAAAGAGTAAGTTGCGATAAGACAATTAAAAGGGCTCCCAAAATCATATACCATGATTTTCTTAGGGTGTGCTTAATTCAAGGGAGAGAAGGGGAAGAGAGTGTTTTAATGTCACTTTATTTGATTTTGTTGGAGAGGATGGGAGGGTTTTTAATGATCCTTTGTTTAGTTTAGGAGGGGAGGTAATAACTAATTTACTATTATATCCTTATATATTAGTTTAATTTTTTTTCAATTGTTCCTTGTAGAAAATAATTTTACACAATTTAAATTTTATAATTTTTTAAAAATTCACTCTCATCTTATCATATTGTCAATATATGAATAAAAAAATTAAACTAATAATTATAATGATAACAATTTTTTATAAAAAATAAATAATTTCCTTAAATATATAATAAAATATGATGAACTATAAAAAAAATAACTCCCTTAAATATATCATATTGTTGATGTCTGAGAGTGAAATACAATCTAATATAAATTTTTTTAATTAACTGTGAATATGCTTAGAATATTAAAAATAACAAAGGGTAAAATAGTCAAAAAAATTAGTTTCCTTCCAAAAAAACTCCAATTTGGAGGGGAGCAATATGAGGGGAGGGAAGGGGTTAGTTTGGCTTCTCTCCACTCTAAAATTTCTTAACCAAATCTTCCTTACTTTCCCATCCAAAACCCCTAACCAAACATATCCTTAAAGAGTCAAGCAACTTGTAAGAGTAATAGTGGCAAGTACATTGCAAATGAGCATTAAGCTCATTGGAATTACTCAATGAAATAAATACAAGGGAAGAGTTCCACAAGGACAGAGGAGTAAATGGGTTTGGAAAACTTGCCTAAGGGTAGATTTTAAACAAAGAGGGTAAGTCGCACAGAGTGAGGTTGAAGACGATGTAGGGTTGAGATTTAAACAGTTTGCGCTAGTCGAGTATTGGATAGATTTGATAGAGTGTCCATAGAGACCTAGTTATGCACTCATTATCTATTTATAAAAATTGGCAATGGCTTGCTCTCATTTGAATTGCAGGTAATTGTCCATGCTTCTAACTACTTGAAGGTGCTCCATCGTGTGATGTGGTAAGTGTGGATGGGCTAAGATTCTCAACGAGTGGGAGGAGTGTAAGTGAGTTGGTCAACTTTCTCTAAAATGCATCATTTCACTTATCTTTACTTAGAGCTATCAATTAAAGCCAACTCATTTTTATAAGGTTTTGGCTTAGACAGACTAACTTTGTTAAGCTTGATTATACTTTAGAGCTCTATTTTGGCTAGCCTGACCTTGGCTCTCAAGGCTAAAGGGCTAGCACTTAAAACCTCGACCCTATATATATATATATATATATATATATATTTCATTATTTCAATTTAAAAATCTAAAAAATATATTTAAAATCTTAAAAAAGTTAGTGCACATAACATTAAGTTTAAAAATATAAATTCAAGACAATACATAGAATGACAAACTTAAGTCTAATAAAAAATAACAACATCACAAAATGAACAACAACAACCATTAAACTTTGCTAGTATCATTAGCTAAATCTTGATTTTTATTATCATCAACATCAATATAATTTAATCATTTTCCTTGTGGAGCTTCATTAGTGGCAAAGATATTAAAATTCTCAATTATTCTTTCTTCATCGTCATTACTTGCAACAAATAATAAACCAAAAATATAATTTCAATATATTTAAAATATGCAAAAAATATTCAAAATAAAACCAATAATAATAAGTTACCATTCAACTCAAAACCATGCAAGGAACATGAATGATAGAAACTAAATGACTATAAGGGAGGCAAGCTAGGGTTTTTGAATTTTTGAATTCTTTTACTTTACTGTGTAGTGTTTATTTTTTATATTAAATTTAAAAAATATGTATAAGAGGGCCTAAAAGGACGAGCCCTTTTATTTTTGGGCTTAAAAGGGTTGGTCTTTGCGCTTTTTAAAATTATTTACCATTTTACACTTTAAAGAAGTAGCCTAGCCCTAGATTTTTCAAGTTTAAAAGAATTGGCTTAACAAGTTTAGTCCTAACTGACAGCTTTACCTAACTAGACCATAATTAGGCTAAGCTCCCTTTTTTTACTTGGGCTTCACAAACCTTCTGCTGTTGGGTTTGGTGCTCCAAATTTGGTACAAACACATTTACTAAAAATAATTAAAAAAATATAATGTATTTTTCAAAAAGCAAAAGGAAAAATAACATACTTAATAAGAACATTAATTATAGTTGAAGATCTTAAAATTTTAAAAATTTCAAAAAAAAAACCATGATTCTTAGTCAAAAATACTTATCCACCAATTTTTATTTTTATTTTTTGGTAAACTTATCCACCAATTTTTAGTAGTCATATTTGAAATTTGTAATATTTATTTTTTAATAATATTTTGATATTGATACTCATATCCCATGTGTTCAACACTTTTCATTGAGGAATGCATGAAAAATTCTTAAAAGATATACAAATAATAATGAGATCTTACAAAATATAATAATTTTTTTAAGTATATTGAATTTTTCTTGACATTAATGTCTTCCATAAATATAATGCTTCTAAAAGTTATAAATATTAATAACTATTTTAATTTAAATAATAATTATTTTTTTAAAAAATAATTAAAACATGATAGTAAATGATAAGTTATACTATGCAAATTTTTTAATTACTAAAATTCAAGTGTTGTAAATATTTAGTAAGATTACTTTAATTTAAGTAATGACTACTAGCAATAATTAAAATAAAATAAATAATTATAATTTTTCTTTTGTAAAATTTTTAATAATTAAAGTTTAAATATTATAAATATCAATGACTAATTTAATTTAAACAATAACCGCTTTTCTTTTAACAATAACTAAAATAGAATAGGAAAGGACAAGTTTTGCTTTACAGATTTTTTAATTCCTAAAATTCAAAAATTCTGAAAATTCAAATACTATAAATATCCATAATTACTTTGATTAAAATTATAATTATATTTTTATGATAAAAAATAAAATGAGAAAAAAAATTATAACTTCCTCTTACAAATTTAAATATCAACATTCACTTTAATTTAAATAATACTCCTCTAATCCTACTTAGAGACAAAGAGATAAGAAAAAATTTAATCTTATTTATAAAACACTAATTAATTTTCAATCTTTCTCTTTATATTTTTATCTTTATTACATACTTTAAATAAAAATACCTATTTATTAAAAATAAAAATAAACTTTTAAATTTTAAGATAAAATTAATAAAATTTAAAATTTTTCTTAAAAGATATTATAAATGACTAATAACCAAGACAAAAGAGAGAGAAACTGCTTTGCTTCTGACAATCACTAAAATAAAATAATAAATAACAAATTCAATTCTAAAATTTTTTTACTCACTAATTCATTTTTAATTTTAAATCAGTACATTACAATCATTTAAAAAACATTAATGGAAAGATTGAGAGGACTTAAAAAATATTATCGTATTCCACGAAATTATCATACTTCATAATACTTTTCCTACCATTTTCTCTTTCATTAATAATAAGTAGAAAGAATTTAAAACATTATAAATACTTTAAAAATTTAACCCAAGAATATTTTACTACCATCCCAGGACTATTGTCCAATTTAAAAATCTCAAAATTTAAAGTCTTTAATTATTATTATTATTATTATTGATGTTCTTAATTGGTCCTTTAAATGTCATCATTTCCCCCCCGGGAGGGCTAGCATGCACCTATCTGACAGTAACTCATAAATCACTGTTAACCCATTTAAAAAGAATCAGACCATAAAAACAATATCGTTCGTAAATAACCTTGCAATGCCAATAAGCATCCATGTATATATAACCAGAGGAGAAAACGACATCGAACATAAGAAAAGCAAATCAATCATAGCAACCTTAAAAATCCCATTAAGCATACAATTAATAATTTAATATAAACAGAACCGACTCAAAAATCCCCAACTCGGAGAAGATGACAAAACTTATAGTCCTCCAAACTCTAGGCACCTAAATTCATGACCAAACCATTTAAAAGGGAAAAAAATAAGGAAAAATCAAATCAAACAGAACCTACAAAGTACCAACACCATCTGCCAATTGCATAAAAGTCTGGCTTCTAAGAGACCTAAGAAAAAACATATAACATACTCAACTTACAAACCCAATCATCCATTCCACTAGATATACCTCTATTAAAAAGCCAACGCATCAACAAGTCAACCAAACTTGACTAGTGAAACATGAAACCAGACTGGGTGAAGAACTTGGACACCATCCTTCTCCACTTGACTCAACTCAAAAGCACTTCCTGTGAACAATAGCTGGACCAGATTCATCGTATTCACCCTTGGAGATCCACATCTGCATAAAAAGAAAATTAGCAAAGCACAGAAAAACATACATGAATGAATACATTCTGGTTACTTCCAATCAAGCAAATAGGAAGAGGGGGAAAACAACAGCAACCTGTTGGAAAGTGCTAAGTGATGCCAAGATAGAACCACCTATCCAGACACTGTACTTCCTCTCAGGAGGTGCGACCACCTTGATTTTCATGCTGCTTGGAGCAAGAGCAGTGATTTCCTTGCTCATACGATCAGCAATTCCAGGGAACATGGTTGAACCACCACTGAGCACAATATTTCCATATAGATCCTTCCTGATATCAACATCACATTTCATGATGGAGTTGTAGGTAGTTTCATGGATTCCAGTAGCCTCCATACCAATTAGAGAAGGCTGGAAGAGTACTTCCGGGCACCGGAATCTCTCTGCCCCTATGGTAATGACTTGTCCATCAGGCAATTCATAACTCTTCTCCACTGCTGAACTACTCTTAGCAGTCTCCAATTCTTGTTCAAAATCAAGGGCAACATATGCTAATTTCTCCTTCACATCACGAACAATTTCCCGTTCAGCAGAGGTGGTGAAAGAGTATCCTCTCTCCGTAAGAATTTTCATCAGGTACTCAGTTAAATCACGACCAGCAAGGTCCAGCCGAAGAATTGCATGAGGGAGAGCATACCCTTCGTATATGGGTACTGTGTGGCTCACACCATCACCGGAATCAAGCACAATACCTATTTACATAACCAACACAAAACAGGTAAGGAAATTTAAGGCTAGACATAAAGATTAGAAAAAGGAATATATGAACTCGAAACCCTTGTGAACAACACTTTCATGTTTCTAAATTGTCTTCTGGAACTAGTCCAAGTCACCATGCGACCAATATAAACCAAAATCCACAACAATAACAACCTGTTGTACGTCCACTAGCATAGAGAGACAAGACGGCCTGGATAGCAACATACATAGCGGGCACATTGAAAGTCTCAAACATAATTTGGGTCATCTTCTCTCTGTTGGCCTTGGGATTGAGTGGTGCCTCAGTAAGAAGTACTGGATGTTCTTCAGGAGCAACACGAAGCTCATTGTAAAATGTGTGATGCCAAATCTTCTCCATATCATCCCAGTTGCTGACTATACCATGCTCTATGGGATACTTCAAGGTAAGGATACCTCTTTTTGATTGGGCTTCATCCCCCACATAAGCATCCTTCTGACCCATCCCAACCATAACGCCAGTGTGACGAGGTCGCCCAACAATGCTGGGGAAAACTGCCCTTGGGGCATCATCACCAGCAAAACCAGCCTGCAAGCTCAGAAAAGATAAGTCAAGTATGAGCCAGGTGAAAATTAGGAGACCAAAGGATCAAAAACAAACTATAGTTCATAATACCTAGGCACCAAGAGAAAAATTTTACATGGTTAAATTAACCAACACCAACTGAGCTCTCAATAAAGGAAGAGATGTAAAGTATATCGCAATTAAGCACAACTTCTAATTTTTCCTTTCAAAAATATTTCTATATTCTAGCTCAGCTTGTTCACTAACCTTGACCATTCCAGTTCCATTGTCAACAACAAGAGGTTGAATGTCCTCAGCGTCAGCCATCTTTTATGATCTGTACAATTGCATAAGCACCCATAATAACAACTGCAAGTAAAAATCCTCAAAAGAATGTGCAAGAATCAAAATTAGGTTCAAAAAATTAAGCAAGTGGCAGCCTGGTAGGCAACTTGAGAGGCCATGTTTGAGGCTTTTGCTAGAAAATTGTAATACATAGACGTTAGTTCTACAAAACACAGTTTTCCAACACAATTTAAAACAATTAAGAAGTAAAACAATTTTATGTCACTCCACAAAGCACCATGACTCGCCAAGTACATGCAAAATTTGAAAGAAAACCCCAGAATCGTCAAAGATCAGCAATATGTGCACCAGAATACAGCCGCAAAACAAGTAAAATTTTGTAAAGAAACATGTAACACGTTAATCGGCCAAATAATATATCATCGCCTAATTGATCATCCAGAAATAGCCAAAAAGAGGCACAAAAATAAAATCAAATTCATGAGAGAAATCTCCCATCAAATCTAGTGAGATAGAAATCAGCCCAAAACAAATTACAACAACAGAATAGATCTCGATCAGCCATAGCAAGTAAAGATCGGAAATTTTGCGATCCACGAAAGGCAACAGAAAACACAGCTAAGAATTGCGGATCCAGAAGATGAACAACTCATCAGAAAGCAACAGTACAGCATGAATTCAAGCATAGTAAAATTCACTGAAAGAAAAACTACAAGGAAGATCCAAACTCACCTTCTTCAAACGGAACTCGAACTCACTGGTACGTAGGTACGGGACGGTCGAGGGAGCAGTTCGTAGAAGAGGTAGCGGCAGGACGATAGTGCTCAATGGAAGAGCATCAGACGAGCTATATATTCCATGAGCACTGGGCAGAGAGCTAAATGACATTGAAATGCGAGTGAAATGAAATCCAAATGCAGTTTGAAATATGCTTTTTGGCTAATGACCCGGTGGTGCTTGGTTCAGACGGAAAACAAATCCCGACCCGGAAGGAACACTGAACGTGGAACCGCGAAGGAAATGGGTGGACTTGTTTTATGAAAAAAAAAAAAAAAAATCCGAACAAGGAAGAGAAAAGAGCAGCGAGACATTTCCGCGGAAAGTGAATCTTGGAATCCAAACATGGTCCTAATCAGCCTGTGATGCCACGTCAGCAAATGCGGCTATTGCTGTAGGCTCCAGTGACCGCAGACCGCTTCTTGAATGTTCTGCTCTACTTTGAAGTCTGAACCCTGAAGTGTTCAATGAGGCAATGAAGTCAGTATTGTCTTAATATTTTTCAGATTAATATAATAATGCGTTAAATACCTAAATTATGAAAAATTAGTAAAAAATTGATTGCAAAATGGCTTCTCAATAACATTTGCAGGAGCACATGGATATATAGGAGAAATAGAAGAGATCCTAATTTGTAAGGGTATTAAAAAGATATGCCATAAATTACAAATTTTGATTACTTATGATTCTACAAATTTAATTTAATAATTTTTTTTGGAATTTTAAACTTATGGAGATAATATTTTATGTTTTTACTTAGTTTGTCATTTACCTAACAAAAGATTATATATCAATAGCAAAGTCTCTTTTTTTCTAATTTTTTTTATTAAAAATCAATTAGCAAAATTTTAAAAATAACTTGAATGTGATTTGAATAAAAAAATGGAGAGATATCACATATAGTACCTAGCTATATTTTGAATAAGATTGCATTTAACAAAAACAACTTGTACACTATAAAAAATGTGATATTTCAATATGCTTAACAGTAAATTTTAGACCTAATACGGTGTTAAATTATAAAAATAAATCTAAATATTAAATGATTGAATAAAAGTCTAGATAAGTCTTGTTAAAATTTATATATTCCCGGTCCAAAACAAAAGTCATGTTTGCAGGATTCATCAGCCGGCCAAGTATTTCACTTGGAAAAGCATAACTATATTCCAAGGCAAGCGATGAATGAAATGGACAGGTGGCAAAAAGAAGATCAAGTGGAAATTAAATAATCATCTCCACTTATATTGAATTATAAATATATTTCTTTTCCAAAAAAAAAAACAGAATGAGTCATAGATCGTAAATCTGAGATTTTTTTAAACTTGGTTTTGAAAAATCAAAGAAACAATATAAAATACAATCAACACTCAAAGTATCAAACCATGATCTATACAAGATGGCCACTAACTGCATGGCCTTGACAAAAAGACCATCTTGACAGTGAAGAGGAGATTTGCATACTCCTTGCATCATTTTACATTATTAATTAAAACTGGAGAGGAGAATACATGTTAGAGGTTGAAGAGTCAAAGCTATGACCGCAATCAAAAGTATCTATATCGTTTCAAAACTAAAAACAAAACATTATTGAAATTTTTAACTAGAACAACCATATCATATTATTTCATTTGATTTCTATTATAAAATATCTCTAATTACCTCATCAAAACTAATAAAAAGTAATTAAAACATTAGCTTTGTTAGAAAATAAAATAAAATTTTAATTTTTTTATTTTTTAAATGAAATATTTTTAAATTTATATTACATACTTTCTGATAATTAATGAGTTTAAATATAAATAATATTAAAAAAATATATATTCCCTTCGTTTAAAAATGTAAAGTATTTTTAACCGAATCTCACCTTCAATAAAGTAGTTACCTACTTTTCAACTAACCTTATTTTTTTATATTCATCCCTATTAAATATTTTATAATAAATATAAAGTTATTATCAATAGGATATTTTTAAAAGAAAAATAATAATTATATTTTAAAAAATTAAAAATATTTTATATTTTTTAATATTTATTTATTTTAAAATATTTTATATTTTTAAATGAAAAGAATTTATAATTAATGCCCTGTCAAATATTTCATGTTGAAGAGTCAAGACCATCAATCTGTTATAAAAGGTGCACTATGACAAGTGCCAAAAGGGGTATATTCGTACTTGTGCTGAGCTGAGATCATCTTCCTCTTGCAGCAAAAGATACAGAGAACCCTATTAGCATAGGCATTCACAAAGGAAGATGGTAGAATTTGCGTTAACCAAGTGAGGCTCTCTCTTAGAGCAGCCTTGGAAGTTAGAACCTAGTTCCCTGATATACAACCATCCAGCTGCCATTGAAGACTCTTCAGGAAGTCTGTTATGCTGAAAAATGGGATTGGTCCCCACATGGGACAGGTGGCGCCCAACAACAAAAACAAGGAACACATACTGCAGCACGCTATTAGACGCAGTGCTCGGGCAAGGCAAATTCCTGGATGATTCAGGGATTGATTCCAAATAAAGACTATGCTAGTGTTGGAAGAAGGTGTGGAGAATTTTGTTGGTTGTCTCTGGTTTTCCTCCTTTGTGGATTTCCTTTTCTTTTTCTAGGAAATCTTCCCCTTCTCTGATCGGTATTTTAGTATCTGTAATAGAGCTGTGACTCTTTCTGTGGCTATCATCTTGTTGAAACTTTTTGCTCGATAGAAATTATAGCCAAGTCTTTAACAATAATTTTGGTAAATATTTTATTGTTTATTTACTAAGTTGCAGGACACCCATATCAAAGTCCTTGTGATAACCAGTGTCGATGACAACATGCTTGTTATTGCAGGACTTTATTTTCCTGAACCATAGTCCATAGAGGCCGTTCTGAAAAATTATCCTTAAAATAAGGAGAGGGATCTTACTAAGATGGCTCCATGTTTTTGCGGTGAGCGTGGATCGAACACGCGACCTTCAGATCTTCAGTCTGACGCTCTCCCAACTGAGCTATCCCCGCGGTTGCTTTCCATATTTATGGAAGATTTTAAGGTTTCGTAATGTCTTTTTTGGGACCGCAAGTGGGTACCACATTTAAAACCGGGTCGACAGGCGTTCAACCCGCTGACATTTTCGTCCCTTGATCCGAAACACATGCTTGGCTGAACCAAAACATTGCTGAAGGCAGGCAGTGCGACTATCATCTCACCAAGATCTCTTCGCTGTGATTCTATTCGCGATGTACGCCTCAAAGTTTCCTTCTTTCTTTCTTGTCTCATCTGAATCAGATCTTAATTGCGTTGATTTAAACTCAATGCTTCTTGGAGTAGCATTTTGCTAATCTAGGGTTATGCAATTTGAGTTTATTTCTTGATGTTCTTTTATGCTATCATAAATCCAATAAATAGATGGTGATGATTTGGGAATATTTATTTCCCACTTCTAGCACAGGCTTAATTCCTGCGCTATTAATGGAAAATTGATCTTATTATGAATTAAACGCTTAAGTGCACTATCGTTGGTTTTTTTTTTTTTTTTTAATGCTGTTTTCTGACTTAGCTAAACGTAGCTTCTCTTTGCATTTCCTGGCAGTTGCTGGTACTGGGTTCTGACTGTCAGTTTGATATAATATTTTTTCATTCACTTGGTTGCGTAAAATTTGTTGAATTTATGCATTTATCCTTCTTTCTGTACTATTAGTAATAATTATCTGATTTCAATTTTTAATTTGGCACATGAATTGGATTTTGCTTTTCCATTTTTGAAATTGATCCATTATACCCTTAGGGGCCACCATATAGAATTTGCATTCATCATGTTTACTGGTAAACTCATGCAGAAGGGTCTAATGTTACTGCAGAAGAAGCTTTGGATACATTTTGTTATATATATTTGATGCCTACGGTTTTGTGGATGCTGAATTCTACTGTTAGAGACTCAGTTTCAGAATGTGAAAGGATTAAGATGTTTGCTTATGAAAATTACAACATGTTTTGTTAATTTTTTTTCGGCCTTTAGAAAATTTCTCTACTAGACATGCAGACTCAGTTGGTTTTATTGTAAATTAGGGCTGACGAAGAACCTGTTGATCAGAAGAGATATTACGAGGACTCTTGCAAGCCAAAGTGTGTGAAACCATTAATTGAATATCAGGTTTGCAATTTCACTACTGTTGAGGACCTGTAAGCTTCTATGATTTGCGGTGACAATTTTTGGCAATTTATGGAGTATGGATGACTACTTGAGTCAAATGATTTGCTTTTGTGCTTCTTACTGAATAACTGTTGTTGGATTTTACAATCATTTGTTGATTGTTAATTTTTTTCGACCTCAATTGTGATGCGGTCTTCAGTAAGATCCCAGTTGAGAATCCTTTGGTGGTAGGTGTGTAGGCAAAGAACCAAATGCCACATTTTAAGCTACAAAGAACTGTACAATAAGCAAATTTGCAAAGTAAACTTCTTTATCCAGCTAATATCATTAATCATAGTCACCTCAATGTAATTCCTAATTCCAAATATGTATTTTATGTATTGTTACATGGAAATCAAACCTAAGATCTCTGCCCTGACCCTTTGAGGCATCACCTCTTTAAACATTCCTGGAGCATATATGTTGAAGAATCTGAGTAAATAAAATTGTAAATACGACTTACCAATTCGCTAAATGTATCTCACAGAACAAAACCTTATTCACATGCTTGTGATACAGATGATATTATTCATATCACCTTTACTCAGATAGATAAGAATCCCTACTCATCATTCGAATAACGCAGAAGGTCTACATTGTTTGTTTGTAGAATATAAAAGAAGGAAAACTCCATCAAAAGAAATGAAGATGCTAGAACACTCTTGCTACAGAGTATCGAACAATATAAATATTAACATAGTAATTGAATGGATGCCCTGAGTTGTGACAATGAAGAATGTAATTTGGGAATAAAAAAGTGATGTCTGTTTTTCTTCATTTTTCCTTCATGAACGAGGATTTGAATTAATACTGTTTGTTATCCTTCGTTCTTCCTTATTTTCTGTTTATTCAAATGGAATTGTTACTTTATTGTAAAGTAATCCTGCTACTTGCAACAGGCATGCATTAAAAGAATCGAAGGTGATGATTCTGGGCACAAACACTGCACTGGGCAGTATTTTGATTATTGGTCATGTGTTGACAGATGCGTACGTATTACTTCAACACTCGATTATCAAACTGTTCATCGTATGTTTATGTTATGTAGTCTCTGCTAAACTTTAATCTGACAATGCAGGCTGCACCAAAGCTATTCTCCAAACTGAAGTAAGAGGAGAGATTTTGGTGGTATATGATCATTATCCTCTCATATTTTTCATTCCCGAATAACTGCTTATAGACACCTGATTTTGAACTCAAACTATACGCCTGTATGGTTTTCAATGCAGTTCCTACAAAATTTTAAAAACAGTGTAACCTGGGATCTTGATTAATAAAATCCTGTCAAACTGTATCTCGAGAGTTTAAATTTGGGATGTAAGATCTAACATTGAGGTTCTAGTACTGATGATTCTGACCTTTTGAGTAAGAGGGTTTGTTGTAATATGGAAGTTTTGAATGGTGGGTTGAAGGGTGTGTTTTTGAGTTCCTATCTCAAGTTTCACTGCTGCTTTACATACGTATATTGAACCATCAGCGCAAATCTTCATTTCTTTCTGTCTTGCATGCTTTGTTCATATCAAAATGGAAGATCTACATTCTAGGTGGAATTCATCAGAGCACTTAATTTGACTTTGATGAATACAGCTTGGACAACTTCTCTCCTGCAAAATTCATTTCACCGAGCTATATACTTCTTTTTTTTTTTTTGGAATAATTACACTGAATCCCTCGCAATACAATTAAATATTATAAGCTAACTGAGCATGGCAACTTGTAGTATTTATTTATGTTGTGGGGAGCTATTGTGTAATTTTCCATTTTTTAGGTAAAAACTATGCAGTATTTGCTATTATCAAATGGCATTTGCGCCATTTTGGGTCTTAAAGGGGGAGAAACTCGTGCGATTTTTTTTTTTTTTTTGTGGTTGTAATTCATAAGATTTAAAATAAACGTCTTGCATAAAGGATATTAAATTCACTCTTCCAAATCCTATCACGTGACAGTAGAGGAAGAAGCTTTAGGGTCTGTTTGGTTCGAGAGGAGGGAAGGGGAGGAGAGAGGAGGTGAGGGGAACTCGCCCTCCAATTTGGAGGGGAGGCTTTGGAGGGGAAGGGAGGAAAAATTTTAATCCCCTCCTCCTAACCAAAGGAAAGGAGGGGAGGGGAGGGAAGGGGCTCCCCTTCTCCTAACCAAATGAGGGGAGGGGAGAGCTTCCCTCTAACTAAATAGGACCTTAAGCAAAATAGTTGCTAGAGGAGGTTGGGGTGAAGGCGCCGAATCAAAAGAACACAATTCCTTTGCAGCTCAATCTACAGCTTTGTTATTTTCTCTACAAAGCTAGAGAGCAAGAAGCATTGCCTAAAGACCTCACAAGGTTGGTTAATCACATCCGTCTAAACTTGGCTGTCTCATATTAGACGTAGACAGCTCATGGGATCATGATGGAAGAGTGATTTGTGGAGGCCTAATTATCTGTGATGAATTGAATCAAAGGTTTCATGAAATACTTTGAATATTAACCCAACACAAGCACAACAGTTGGACTTTTGGCAATCTATGAAGACATCAACTTTTGCTAGGATGAAAAGTTAAGTCAATGCTTTTAACAATTCGATGGAAACTATTAACCTTATTTAGAATGAACATGCTTAGAATCATCCCTTATGTGAGATTAGACTATCACTTTAAACCTTGCTTTTAAAGAAACTTATCGATACCCAAAGAAGCTTACTTACCTTGCAAACCATGATAATTTTAATATGAGGACTTTACATGACCCACATTAAAGGTGTAGGAATATTTAACTTTCTAACATTACTTAATTTCTATCTCCCTTGCAGTTGAGCCACCGCCTTGTAAAAAAAAAAACACATCCATCATTAAGCTTCTACAAAGCACAAAGGCTTGTAATTTCTATCGCCCAAGACATGCACATGTTGTACTCGTGTGTGTGTGTGTGTGTGTGTGTAAGAGTGGCGAGCTACACAATTGGAGTAGCACAACTATCATGTAGAGCATTCTCCACAGTAGATTTTATCTAGTGTCAAAATATTTTAAGCAAATCTAAAGACAAAGTCTTCATAAGGAGTCAATTCCTTTGCATCAACATTTCTTATAAATGAACTTCCAATCCATCTCAAAAATAAATGAATCCTGAGGCACATACGTGGTTTTAACACAGCTTGCCTCGTGAAATCAAAGATATCTGCAATTAAAGCTTAATGCACATTCACTGATACAAGAAAACCATAAACTAACATACCAGTTGCATCTCTTATAACTACCAATTCCATTTCTTGTCATTTCCTTGAAAGCATCAGACGCATTAAATTTTTCTTCCCTCGGTCTAAATTGTAAGACACTTCCAATCATATTTCACAAGTCAATAAAAGTAATAACTTCCTTTAATTTTATTTATAAGTCATTTCTAACATTTTTATTAAAATTAAGAGAAAATTTTAAATCTTATAGTAACTCTGTCTAAGTATTTAATAAGGTTTTAACTTTACTGTTAGTAAATATATAAACTTTATACTTTGACATTTAATAAGAATAAAAGGGTAAAATAAACATAATAATTATTGAGGTGTCTTATAAATAAGATAAAAAAAATACCCTTTCAGCCCTATAAATAAGATTCCTTACTTCCATAAAAAATAACATGCCTTTTCTTTTTTGCCTTCAACACTCTTATTAAGAAAAGTGATAAATTATATTTTACATGCCCACATTAATTAATACAAGAGTAAATTTGGAAAAATATTTTCGAAAAGTACTTAGTGACTTAACTTTAGACTAAGTTTAGTTGGGAAAAAAATGTCTCAATTTAGATTGGAGGGAGTAATTTAAATTTGATACACTACCTTTGGTTCCCCATACCAAATTGATGCAATGAGGTGGCATTCCAAAGGAGCACAATTCATAGACCAGACAACATTAATCAGTTCCACTACTCCACCAATAACTCTAATAGGATCATCTCTGTAATTATTTATACTTATGTAATAGTAGCTTTTCATGTCAACACCAATAGCTTTTCACACTTTTTATGTCAATAATAATGTATTCAATATTAATAAGGTTTTAAATAAAAGAAATAGCTATGTTAAATTCTCTTTCCCCCATTCACCAAACTCAGGACTAGCACTTTTTTTGTTTTGATATTCAGGTTTAGCACTTTACCTAAAAGATATCAAACCCCTCTTGCTCGACCTAAAATTTGGTGAACTTTAGTTGTATCCATCCACTTCTATTATAAACTATGCGTGGCTTCATTGATTGCATAGAATAGAGGCATTTTTCACTTTTTATAGATTGTATATATTAACATATGTTGACAAATTAATAATCAATAAACTAATATTAATAATTAATTTAATAATAGTTAATAATTAAAAAATAATTAAAAATCTATTTCCTTGCTAAAGTGGCACCCTCAATTTAAAATATAAGGTATTTTTTATTATTTTTTTTGGCCGAAGGTATTTTCTATTAGTTAGTGTTGGTAAAAAAGGTCAATAGAAAAAAATCTTTTGAATATACCTTTATTAATTGTATTTAGAAAAGATATTATATAAGAAAAAATTAAAGGTAATTAATATTTATTAATTTTAATTTGTGGAAAATCTTAAAAGTATTGACATTTTTTCATTACTTTAACTATATAAATCACTCTTAACGACTTTTCTGTAGTAACTAAACTGTCATGTATTTGGGGTGGGAGGGGGCAGTTCATTACAAAATAAAATAAAAAAAAATAAAAAAAGTACTTCATTTACTGTTTACTATCAATATCAATTATAACCTTTTATTCCTGATTTTATTATTTTATTCTTCTTTTTTGATTTTGTGAAAACTTATGTTGATTTCTTAATTTTTGACTATCAAGATAAGTGTAGTATTTTTTTCATTTTAAATTATAAGTTATTTTTTAAAAAATTTTTTTATTTTAAAATATGAAACACTTTGAGTAAATTAAAATTTTATTAAATACATTAATTTTAATATTATTTTTTTCTTTGTAATTAATTTTTATCTTTTTTTTAATATATTAAATTATAAATATTTTTAAAAATTTATATTTTTATTTTAAAAAGATAAAATTATTAAGTATATTTAATAAAATTTATTGATATATAAAATTTTATTTAAAAATATTTTATAATTTGAAATGGAGAAAATATATTGAGTGTTTTATTTGTAATTTTTTTTTATTTTTATAATATTTGATCATTTACTTAAAAAAAAAAATTCCTTGATTTTTGAATCAAACTCGATAGACATCCCCACTCGCGTTCGAGGGCGTGACCGTTGAATGAACATCAACGGCTTCCGAATTGTGTACTAAAAGGAAATAAAGCCCTAAACAACACCAGAATTTCAATTTCAATCCTTCTTGATAAGCCCTGTGCACAGCCCTGACAATTCGTCTCTCCCTTATGATCGGTATCATCGGAACTTCCCCGGCGATGAAGCTGCTTCAACCGGAGAAACGGATGGAGTCCCATCCTCGAAGTCCTATAAATGTCTCCAGCAATCTCAAGTTTCATGGCTCGGAAGCCGGGGACCCTGAAGAACAAGAACCTGAAAACCCATCACAATCGCTGAAGAAAACTAGGGATTTGCCCAATTTGAACAAATGCCATGCGTGTGGGTTCATAGTTGACGTTTGCACTGGTAAGAAGAGACTCCATGTCCTTAGTAGCGAGTGGCGCATAGTTCTTCTCTGCAAAAATTGTCTTTCATCCGTTAAATCTTCAAAAATGTGCTTGTATTGTTTTTCCGAATCGTCTGCGGATTGTTTTCGTTGTGAACAATGTCAGCATTCTGTTCATAAAAAGTGTTTTTCCAAGTACAAAGGCACTGCTCCATGGTCTTATGCTTGTTCCGGGTCGGAATTTTCTGTTTGTGTGGATTGTTGGATTCCCAAATCAGTGGCTTTTTCAAGAAAAAGAATGAAGAATGGGAAGGTTAGGAAAAAGGGTGGGGTTGTATTAGAAAAGGAGACTTCTAGGGTTTCGGATGATGGAAATTCAGCGGTGTCATTGGAGGATGTGGTTAAGGATGCAAATATTGTGGTAGGGAAGAAGGTTGAAGCTGCTGCCAGGGCTAGAGAGGAGGCCGTCAAGAAGGCTGTGGATGCTAGAAGAGCGGTAGAGGTTGCAAACAGTGCTTTAAGTTTAGTAGCTAGCGGAGATGAGAGCAGTTTAAATGAGCGCCTCAAAATGAGTGCTGGTAAGGTTGTTGAATTGTATCCGCCTATGAGTAGCTCTCCGACTAGTTGCAGTTTATTTAATTCAAGTTACTTAGATACTCCTAAGATGGGGACTTCTAGTATTGATTCATCTTGCATGAGGTCGAACCCAAGCAATTCAAGTGATTTTTTGAAGCATGAAATTTCCAGTGATGATAACATGTACAAGGAGTCCTCTAAACATGTATTGGAACCTTCAGTTTGTATGGATGGGAGTGACATTAGAACAAGGTCAAAAGAAGGCAAGTGTGTAGCTGATTGTGATGCTAAAGAAGAGATTGGGGAAGAGTTGATGAAGGAAGGCGAGGGAAGTTCCGATAGGCAGGTAAACTTCAGTGGAGATAGTAGATTGACTCTTGATTGCAAGCAGACAGGCACTGCGTTGCATGGGGAAGAAAGATGCAAGGGACAGCCTGACCGCAATTTGTTGAAATATAAAAGGAGGGTTTGGAGGTTAAAACCAATATCAGATTGTAAACCTACAATCCTTTACAATAAGCATGAGACTAATCTTGAGAGACAGAGCTCAACTCCTGATGTTCCATTGAATTGTTCCTGGGAATTGAGAACGTTATCTGATGGTTAATTTCAGTCATTTCATGCTCCTTTGCAAGCATATGTTTGTCATAGTGGATATTCCAAGAGCCATCTTGAAAGAGCATAGGTATATAAAGTTTATCTTTTCTTACTTATGTTATGTATTTATTTTGAATTTATCACTTTTTTTCATTTATATTGTTTTATTGTTATTCTTGATCCTTGATGATATTATAACATGTTACATTCACATTCGTTCTTTTGCTGTTCATTTATTTTCTGTCGTCATGCCAAACCTTGAATGTTTCTATTCCAAAACATGGAAAATGTGGTGTAGACGTGTTGTCACTTTCGTCCTCATATTTGATATTTCTCACTACTGCTGACTGTTGTCCATGTTTTTGTACAATTTTTCACTTAAAAGTTTCCTCAGCCTCTCTCTGGACATGCCTGAGATTGGTTACAATGGGCACCTTGTAAGGAAGCTAATGTTGAAAGAATGTAATCGGGCCTGTGAAATATCCTGTTTGATATGATGAATTATGTCAGTTAGGATGACAAATTTGTTAACTGTTTACATGTGGACCTTTTTTGCCAGTATCAGGTTTGGCCATCTGGTTAGCACTGACTGGCTGCACTGTTGCAGGCTATCCTGCAAGATAATCAATTTTAACATGCAAGTTCATGCTTCATATTTTTATTTTGTGTTGTTATTTTGTTCAATATGTATAACCTGTTATGTTATAAATTTCAAAAGAAAAAAATCGCAGATACCATGTGATACAACTCTGGCACTTCATGATTAGATTAGATGGAAATCTTAGGAAATGTTTTATGTTGCTTTTATGACTTTGTTGTATATAAATAATTTTAATTATTCTGATTATTATCATGTACTCTTCTATTTTACTAATATTTAATGGCAAATGTAGATTCATCTTTTTAATGTTTGCCTCCTTCCTTTGTGTAGCTGGCTAGAATTCCATATAACGTATCAAACATCAAAATGGGTACAAAATTCCTCTCTACCGGAGCAAAAGACTTACTAATGGCCCTGTTTTTCTTAAACTTGGATAATTAGCCTTGATTGCTTGCAGATCCAAGTCCATTCCAGGTTGGGTTTCATGAAACTTGACAAATTACTGAAATAGTACTAGGTAAAGCAGATAACCTTCCGCGTGAGAGATGCTTGGTCTTTTAGATGTAATTCTGGTCTTTGTGAAAAGTTGGATCCGCTTTTTCCCTTTAATTTTTTTTGGGGTAATCTTTTACATTCTTTTGTACAACATGCTCACCTGTGAGTCATTCTGTATAGTTACAGTTCTGGAATTCCACTTACGTTCAATAATTGCTTGAATTGTGCTAGCATTGTATCATGAGTTAAATATTTCTATAATGAATCGGTTAATCAGTTTTAATTGTACTGAAGATAAGATCTGACAGTATGCAAGTGAATTCACTCGATATGCTGGCATAATAAATGCTGAATTCCTCAGAATCCTAGCTGGTTGTGTAAACAAAAATAAAACTTATTGTTTGATATTGAGCTTTTCTTTTATAGAAATCTTATTTTAATTATTTGATTCTTTTGTTTTCCCACATAGTTTGTGCTGATATGAGATGATTTTTTGTCGGAGAGGTGAATGTTCAAATAAATCCCACATCATGAACGTAGGACCCTAGTCTTGTATCTTACAATTGATTACACCACAAGAAGTAGCCAGCTAGTTTAAACTTCCAAAATCTATACAAACCCAAGTATGGTGTCTTGCGATTGAGTCTCAACATTCATTCCACCATGCATTGTAAATTGTAATCTTCACATAATAAGCCCAGGTTAGGTCTGTCTTGACTTTTTGGCTCTGATGCAATACCACTTTTCCCATCTTATTGCATCTAGGACGTAGTGGAAGGCTCTTAGACTTTAGGGTATTCAAAATTGAACCAAACTGATTGGAACCGATTGAAATCAAACCAAATTGCACAATAGCATATTCTTGTGGTTGATGTTCTTTACCTTACAATAACATAAAAGTCCAACTAAACTGTTTTGAAAAGAGAAAATACATATCTGGAAAAAAAAATCTGAGAAAAATTAAATCACTTGAAAGAGAAATAAGAAGTGTGAACTGAACCAAAGTGAAACAAACCAAATCATGTAAAGCTCAAAACAGAATATGTGTTCTAGTTTACACAATTGAGTATTGGTTTGTCTTGATTTTAGTCTGAAATTGAACTGCATCAAATCTATGAACAGCCCTGCTAATATCCTTTTAAGTTGCCTCAAAATACATATAAACTCACATTAGAAGACTCAAGCCTATGCCTTTGAAGTTGCCCACCGGGTCCTAACATAAGCCTATACCTTTTATTTGGTAAAGTCGTTTCTAAGATGTCTGGTGCTGTCAAGAGATCAGATGACTTCATTTTGGTTGGTATCTCAATTGCAATGTCTTCTTGTCAGTCCTGGAGGATGAATGGCTTTTGTTACTTCATTGGAAGTGACCGAGCCATACATCTCTTTGAAAATGTGACTCTAGGCCAGTGTTTACCTGTTCACTTTCTGATAGGAACCAGTAAACTTGACACAATGCTAGTGAAAATTATCGCTGTGTAACCTCTGTTACTGTAGGGAAAATGTAGAGATTACAGACCCATTCCCTTTCTGCCCTTCTGTGTCGCATTCCAGGGTTGTTTTGTTTCTGTTGGGCTTCCTCTGATACGCTCGGCCCCATCTATTTGGAGGCCCATCACTTTCCCACTTTGATTAGTGTTTCTCATATGTTCTCCATTGATAGTCTACGATATATATGACCTAACATAGAGCTAATGCTTTTCGCCATCCAATTACAGCTTTGCTAGTTACTGGTTAGAACAAGTGATTATCTTGTTATCTTTTTCTTAGGCCGCTTAAAGTGAAGATTGAGCACATATTTTGGAAGATAGAAATAAGACTATCAAAATTTTAGAAAACAAAAGTTACACGCATGCACCAAAGAAATTCATGAGTATTCATATTTTTTATGTGTTCATTCTAGCTTTATGACGTGATTCTTAGTTTCTTTTCTTTTCTTTTCTTTTTTTTTTTTTTTTTTTGGTGAATGCATTTCTGTTCGGATACACTCAAGTCTCTGTTGGGACATGATAACAAAACAGAATATAGTTTGTGCTCTTCAGTTAAAATGGCTTCCTGAAATATTTTGGGGCGGCAAAATTCTGAATTTTATTGATGAGAAATGCATGCATAGATAGAAGAAATAGGGGAGAATAAATCTAATCATATCACCTAAAATCTCCTATAATCGTGAGAAAATAAAGTCTGATATGATAATAGTAAATAGCCAACCTAAAGAGGGAGGTTGCAGGCTCAAATAGTCAAATCCTGAAAATGGATTTGTGCCTATTGTAAAAAGAAAGAGAGGGGAAAAAAATGGCAAAGGAAGTGTGGGAACTTTTTTTCTTTGATTTTATTTTCCCCCATCTTTTTATCTTAATTTTATGTTTTTTCCCCTATCTTTTTATCTGAAAATAACTTCTCATTTTTACATGTTCTATATAGTAGTTATTTTGATTTAGGTATTTGAGCTTAGATTATGAATTTAAGTTCCTTTAACCATTATTTTGTTTCAGGAAGTTTTATGGCCAAATGTCAATATTGGCATGGCTCTATTTCTTTTAAAGTGCTTATTATATAAAGTTCTAGTTTTTGTCCTGAGAAAAGGCAAAGTGAAGAATGATACAATTTGAATGTGAAGATAGGGAAATACCTATAAACGAAACCTCTTTTGAAAGCATATGAGCAGTTTAAAAAAAAAAAACTAAAAAAGAAGAGACATGCAATTTATTTTGATTTGCACGTGAAGGAAATGAACACTGATCCTCTATTCTCCTGAGTCCTAAGCCTCTTCTGACCAAGATGAGAGCTGCTCTTGATTAAAGTTATTTAAATTTGACTCAGAGAGTTAATTTTTGTTTTTGTATTAAAAATATATTTGTATTTTGAAGGGTGTAACGTTGAATGTTTCCAAAGAAAAAGATAGATATTCAAGAAATAAAAAAGAAAATAAATCCTGAACTATTTAAATTAGAGCTTTATAATGCAACGTAATTACAGTTCTTTGTAGAGGAACAAATAAATTCTTAAAAAATGATGATTAAAATTTTAAAAAAATCAGTAGTTTAGATTAAATTTAAGATTCTATATTGAAAATAATTAGTATGAGTCTCATGTATTGTACAGAGTGTGAGAAGTGAGTCACAAGATTTTTATCTTAAAAAAAAATTGTGATTTGGTTGAGTTTTTATGCTTTTATATAGATGAGTAAGTAGAGCAACCAATAATTTGCTTCCACATATCATTAACACTTTTTTAAGGACAAATGACAAAATAAGAAGTCAATTTATCTCAGAGTTGTTGGTATGGGTTCATCCTCGCTTCCAAGGTGTGTGTGTGTGTGTGTGTGTGTGTGTGTCCATGTATACCAAAATATTCCGAAGGGTATTGACATTTCAAAGAAAGGAACAAAACAGCAGAAACCAAGAAATTTATCTCAATCATGTCATAATTGATAAATCCATTATTCTATAAAAATTCCCGCCCATAGCAAGAACATAAAAGCCAAAACAATTACGCAACTAGGAATAATATGAAACCATACCAAACGAACATAGAATTTTAAGATGTAATAAGACAACTCATTTGCTTGTTATTATTAAAATGAAGAACCTGCTGTCAAGCCTCCATCAGAAATAAAATTATTCATTCCTTCGGCTGATGGGACAAGCTAGCAAGAAAGACTCCATCACTGACCACCAGTAACAAATTAAATATATCAGTAACCAACTAAACTTATGGCATGCGCATGCCATTCTCTTAAACAACTTTGAAATGCCTCGAATCTCCACTCAAGGGCAACATTTATCTCCTGTCTCATTTTTCTTCTCGGCTAGTTCTTCTTTGCCTTTTCTTTTCCTTGCTTCCCACGTCTCAAAGTCTAGTTAATTTGGAATTTTGATAAGTTCACTTCATATTGTAACAAGTTAACAAGACTGAGTTCTGCTTGTGAATTTATAAGTACACATATGTGGTGCCCGTTTGGTTTGCGTCAAGAATCGATTTTTTGGGGTTTAATCGATTTTCAAAACAAAATTTGCCAAACAGTAGAAAAATGCAATAATCGATTAGGGAGGTTAAACGCGCGTTAATTCTTAATCTACCAAAATCAGCTTCAGCTTTAAGCTTTTTACCGTTATTCACGTGCTCTTTATCTGTGCCCTTCACGTGATTGAGTTCTCTTCTTTCTAATCCTCATTTGTCTTCTATCAGGCGCAGCTTTCTTTCTATGATCTCCTCTTTCGTTCAGCTCACCAGTCGGTCCTCACGGTGGTGCCGCCGCTCTGTCATCGTCCAGCCATCCCCAACTTAGTCACCGTCCACCATCTCCCGTCGTGCCGTCTCTGCCGTCGTCCACCCACCTCCAACAGGTGTGCCGTCTCACAGTCGGTACTCACAGAGGCAAGGATCTTTCGACTATCTTCCAACTCTGTGCAGATCTGTGGTCCTCGTGGCGTCACCTCCTCCGTCCACCGTCTCTGAGTTGCTTCCAGTGGTGGTGATCTCCTGCTATGGTCGAGGAAGGCAGTAAGCTTTATCTATACTCTATTTCCTCGATCTGCTCATGGTCCTCCGTCCGTCGCTGATCTGCTCGTGGTCCTCCGTCCGTCGCTGATCTGCTCATGGTCCTCCGTCCCTCGCTGATCTGCTCGTGGTCCTCTTCAGTCGGTCTAACTCAGAGGTAAGTGATCTTCTCTTTCTGGACGATCTTGTTCAGGTTTGATCTTGGTCAAATTTTGTTTTCCTCTCCACTCTGATCTATGCATGGATGGATTTGTTCTCGGGATTGCTGGCTTAGTTTTGTGTGGCTTGAACCATTTACAACTCTTGAACATTTGCAAATAATAAGATGGGTGAAAGTTGATTTTTTATGCTATTTCTGTGTTAGTTTTGTGCCTAGTTGAACTCTGTGCTGAACATGGGAGATCTGTTAAAAGTTAATTTTGTAGCTATTGAAACTTGATTTTAGTCAAAATCTATGCATTTGCAAATTGTGGGAAAGCTGGTGAAAGTTAATTTTGTGCCAAGTCGAACTCTTTGCTGGTTTTGGTTTGTGATCACTGATTACTGGAGCTTTATTCTCAAACATTATGTTTTGCATATATAGGGGTCATTTAGTCGAATTTTTTGCTGTGTGAGTCTCTGTTGAATTTGGCTCCTCTGAAAATTGCCAAGTTTTTATCATGTAATATTTTAATTATAATTTCTATAATTAATATGTTAGTTTTTTACATAGTATAATGAGTAACAATAAGTCAAAAGCTTCATGGGATCGAAGAAATACTAGAATCTTTATTGACATTTGTTTGGAACAAGCTCGAAAATCGCAAAGAAATGGTGGTAGTTTTACCAAAGCAGGATGGCTCAGCATAATTTCTACCTTCAATGAGAAGACTGGACAGAAATATGACAGACAACAATTCAAGAATAAGTGGGATAATATGAGAAAAGAGTGGGTACTATGGGATAAGTTAGTTTCAAGTGAGACAGGATTGGGTTGGGATTATGCAAACAATACTGTGGATGCTTCAGACGATTGGTGGGAGAAGAAGATATTGGTATGATGTTATTATATGAGGCTTTATATTTATTTTATTTATTTGTGTATTATGTAATATTATTGATAATTTATGTGCAGGAAAATCCTTTATATGAGAAATTCAGACATAAAGGATTACCATTTGCCAATGAATTAACCGAGTTGTTCCAAGGTACTATCGCTAATGGACCTAGAGCATGGGCACCTTCAAGTGGAGTTTTGCCTAACATTTACAATAGGAATGAAGGTGAGGATGAAGAGGTGTATCGGCCTGATATGGCAAATGAGGGTATTAATTTGGAGGAAGGTTCAGGAGATAGTGATGAGATCTTAGGAACTACTGGAGTAAGCGGTGAATTTAATAGAGTAGTTCTAAATGCTTCTCAAGGAACCTTAAGTGGAAGCAGTGGTAAGAGGAAGAGGGGCGAAAGCAGTAACGGTAGAAAGAAGAACAAGTTACCTAGTACAAGTCAAATAGCAGATGCAATGAGTGTGATAGCTCAAACAACAAAGGAAGAATCTCAACAGGCCAAGGAAACATCAATTCCCGAAGTCATGTCTATAGTCAAACAATGGGAAGAAGTTGCAACTGATAAACATTGGGTTTCACGATGCATGTCACTCTTCATGTCTCGAGAGGCTAGGGTGATGTTTTTGATGATGAAGGATGATAAAGAAAGCATTTTGGAGTGGTTGAGATATGAATGTTACAAAAATGGTTGATTATTGGAGTTTTAAAACTTATTATGAGTATATGATCTTACTTAAAAAGTAATCTAACATGTTTGTATTATATTGTAGAATTTAACTTATGTAGCCTCTTGAACTACTTATGTACTTTTTATATATGGTAATTGAGTATTACAATGTTGTGGAAAAGTCATTGGTATTTCTATAGATGACTTATTTAGATGTATCTATAATTGAAATTAAATGCACGTATTATTTATGTGTTTGGCTACAGATAGCAAGACATATGGAAGAGTCATCTAAAAAAAGGCTAAATAGAGCCCAAAAAGTTAGTGCTCTCATTGGGTTGTATGTAACAAGACATTTGTGCAAAGAGCCACGAAGAAATAGTGAATATACAGGTCATTTGTGGGTGAATGAAATTTTAGAAGGACACCCAGTTCGTTGCTATGAAATGTTTAGAATGGAACCACATGTGTTCCATCAATTATGTAGTGAATTGACACGACATGGATTGAAGGATACTAGGCGAATGAGAGTACAGGAGATGGTTGCAATTTTTTTAAATACAATTGGATATGGGTTGGGAAATAGGATGGCACAAGAAAGATTTCAACATTCAGGAGAGACTATTCATAGACATTTTCATAAAGTTTTAATGGCTTCCTCGAAACTTGCAATGGAATATATTAAACCACAAGACAAGTCCTTTCGTCATGTATCAAACAAAATAGAAAATGATAAGCGATATTGGCCATTCTTTAAAAATGCCATTGGAGCAATTGATGGCACACATATTCCATGTGTAGTCCCTGCTAGTGAAAAATCAAAATATATTGGAAGAAAAGGAATCCCTACGCAAAATGTAATGGCTGTGTGTGATTGGGACATGTGCTTTACTTTTGTCTTGGCTGGATGGGAGGGCACTGCACATGATGCTCGCATTTTTCAACATGCCCTGACAGCTCGATCCATGAACTTTCCACACCCGCCTTCAGGTATTTTTATTTGTTCAATTTATTTGTCTTAGACTTTCCACCTTACAGGCATTGATAGTAATTTTTTTTACAAGGTAAATATTATTTGGTGGATGCTGGTTATCCAACACCAAATGGATATCTTGGTCCGTATAGACGGGAACGCTACCATCTTCCTGATTTTAGAAGATCAACTGGATTTGCAAATAATAACGAGGTCTTTAATTATTTTCATTCAAGTTTACGGTGCACAATAGAAAGAACATTTGGAGTTTGGAAGAAGAGGTTTGCAATTTTACGCAACATGCCTAGCTATGACTACGATATACAAGTTCAAATCGTTGTTGCATCAATGGCGATACATAATTTTATTAGAAGACACTCTAACTCTGACGCTGATTTTATGCATCATGAGATGGAAGATTAGGAAGATTATGAGGACCAAGAAGACCATGGCGTTGATGGATATTCATCCATGACATCTTCTTCATCAGCTATGACTAGTATTCGTGATATTATTAGGGACCAACTTGTATATTATCATCTTCATTAGTTGTTGTAAAATTACTGTTTTATATTTAAGAATTTAATTTTCTTGTCTTTTATTGAATTTATTTTAAGCAAGATATATTTAGTTATTTATTTACATAAATTTAAATGTTAATATTAATATAATTTAAATTTTTAATTAATTATATATGTAGTTTAAATAATATATTTTGCTTTTTAAATAAAATGTAACAACTTTAATACTATTACATACAAATCTATCATTAATTTAAATTTAAAAAACAATGTCCTTTATGGTAATTTAAACAGCTAAAATTGATTCTAAAAAAATTATCCAAACATCTTCAGTTCTGTTAAAATCAATTTTAGAAAAACAGCATCCAAACATATTGCGTTCTAACATAATCAATTATGATTAAAATCTACCACTTAATCAATTATTTTCATAATCTATTATGCCCAACTAAAATCCAAACGGAGCCGTGAAATGACAAATTTTTAGGATTTAAACAAGTCCACTTCATATTTTAAAAATGAAAGGTATTTTGATTATCTCCTATTAAAACATATTTTCCATTCAGTCTCCTGATTTTGCAGTATATTTTCAGATTACATTGGTTTTGATTTGAAATTAAATCCCTCTATGGGTCCTTTACTGAAATTCTCCCTTGAAATAACTCTGTGCCTTGAGTTTTAAAGCCTCGAGTCTCCACTCACTTCTCTACAACACTTAGTCCTTGTCTCATTTTTCTCAGCTAGTTCTTCTTTGCCTTTTCTTTTCCTCTCTTCCCATGGCTCAAAGTGTAGCACTAGAAGAGGAATGCGAACAAACAAGCAAAATTCTCAACAAAGAGAACAAGATGGACTTCTCTCAAAGGGTGAAATGCTTCGCACTGCAGAATTGGGAGCAATGATGGTTTGTTTTCAATTGCTGCACTGATTATGGGAATGGGAGCGGCTAAGACAGTTATGAAAATCCTGCTTCTTGCTGGTTTTGCGGGGACAGTGGCAGGAGCTTGCAGCATGGCAATTGGAGAGTTTGTATCGGTGTACATTCAGTATGATGTTGAAGTTGCACAGATGAAGAGGGAAATAGAGTGAAGATGATGATAAAGAGAAGCAGATGGAGAAGATGAAGAAGCTGCCAGATCCATTTCAAGCCGCATTTGCATCAGCATTGTCATTTAGCATTGGAGCTCTGGTTCCTCCGCTTGCTGCTGCATTCATATTAGGTTATAAGTTAAGGCTAACAGTGGTTATCATTGTGGCTACTTTGGCTTTGATAGTGTTTGGATTTTTGGGAGCTGTGTTAGGAAAGACTCACACTGAGATCTTGTGTGAGGGTTGTGTTTGGGGGATGGATAGCTATGGCCATCACTTTTGGGTTAACCAAGGTACTGTGTTCTTGGGGACTGGAGCTGTATGGATGAATTCATTTGCTTTATTTTTGCTGCATAAGGTTAGGTTCTTAACAAGAGAATCTAACCAAGCTATGTTTTGTTCTCTACTTGTTGTTTTGTAAACATTTTTGTTTCTGGAACAAAAAATAAAAAGTAGAGGCTGCTGCGTTTTTTTTTTTTTTAAATTGAGTTAGAAAATGTTAAACTTAAAAAGAGATAGTGCTGTGAAGAGAGAAAAGTTTATTTCAGCAATGTATTAATAACTAGACAAGCTTTTGAACCAGATAAGACGTTGGTTTAAAAATTTATAGATAAAATAGTAGTAAAGATCTCCATGAACAAAACATTTTATTAAATTAATTAAAATCCTAATTCAATGATTTATTAATTCAATTGGTTGAGTTGACTCAACAATTTAAATCGGTTTTTGTGAAGCCCATTTAGAAAATAAATGTGGTGGCAATTTTGTAATTAAATTATTTAATGTTGTGCTTTTTAAGCTGATTGTTTAAATAATTGGGTTTAAAATTACTTTCCAGGCTGGTTAAAATACCAATTGATCTTGAAAGCAATATTATTAAACTCATAAGTTTAAGTAAATTTGTGATGAAAATGTAAACTCGTATCGTAAACTTGGATCATAAACTCGTAAGAGTTAACCTCTATCAACAAATAACCATTAAAATATGATTGTAATTTAATTTAAATATATTAAAAATATACATAATTGAAATTAATTCTTTATCATATACAAGGCATAAAAATTTTAAAATACGAGAATTTATTTTTAGTATTTTTGTTTTTTTATTAATATTAGTTTTTATGTTATAAGTTTTTTTTTTGAACCAAATTTTATAACTTTTAGAATTGAATTTTTCATAATATATACTTAACTTGCTCAACTTATAAAAAAAAAATTAATGACTTTAATAAGTTTAACTAAACTTATATTCAATCTAAGTTTATGAATTAGTTGATACAATTTTATAAATTAAAAATATAAAAATAATAAATTTAAAAATAAATTTATAAATTTAATTAAATTTATATTTAATTTAAATTTATAAATAAATTGATATAATTTTATAAATTAACAATGTAAAAAGATTAAATTCATAGTGAAATTGAGAGTTTGACAATTATTTTAAAAGGTGTATCATTTTACATCTCCTCCGAGCCAGCCGGTCTAGAAAGATTAAACAAAATAGGAAGCAACCCCTGCGCCTTTCAGATTTCCCACGATTGCTCTCTTCTCCTTTCCATCGTCGCTTCCCCGTTGCCTCCACCTTCCTCCGCCCATGCTTCGTCTTATCCGGCACCTTACCCACCATTGGCGACGTCCTCTTCTTCTTCGTGCTAGGGCACAGAACGCCCCTTTTGCCTCTTATCGCTCCTTCTTGTAGTAATCCTGTTTGCCCTATTTTCTAGGAACTACCTCCTCCTCCTCTTCCTTCTCGTGTTCTCGTTTTCACATTCAGCTCATATTTAAAAAAATTCTGGCACCGCTAGATCTTATCTAAATACTGCAGAGCAGAGGCGAGTTTGCACTCCCCAGCCTCCATCGTGTTGTTCTACTAATTTCCCTCACATTATGCAGTTATTCGTTTCTAATTCTTCGTCGGTCGCTCTGCTCGTTTTCCTGTGGACTCTGAAATCTCCCATTTGTCTTTGTTTTGGGTTGGGTTCAGATTAGTGAGTCTCCATAGTAAGGAAAAGCAGAATAGGAAAAATGGGAAGTGTCTTCGTGCAAGAGTTGGAGGGCAGGTCTTACAGATGCAAGTTCTGCAAAACCCATTTGGCCCAAGCCGATGATCTCATCTCTTGGATGTTATTCCTTTTCTATCGGTAATTAGAGACCTTCAGTTTTTTGATTGGGAAGAACGATTCTTTATTCTTTTTAATGTTCGTAAATTTATTAGGAAGGACGATTCTTTATTCCTGGTTATTGTAAATTTATTTTTAAAATTCTCCTGTAGTAAATAGGCACCAAGTCTTTATTATGAATTTCTGATGATTAAAATGTTGATGGATCATGGTTATGTGGTAATGCAGGATACACATGTTTTTGAGAGAGCAATATTGATACATATGTTTTTGCTTCATTCTCAATGTTCAAGATGTTTTTCCTAGGGCTAATTTCTCTCAATATTGAGAGAGCAATATTGATTCAGTTGTTTTTGGGAGAGCAATATTGAACGATTCTTTATTCTCAAAGTTCAAGAAGTTTTTTGCTCGTGCTAATTTCTCTCAACTTTTTAAGTAATTGTTACTTCTAGCTTGAACTTTGAGTTCATTGTCTCTTTTGCCTGCTGACACACAATGCTGAAAATAGAGTAGAGTACTCTAGTTCCGAAACAAGGGTTATTTTTTGAGAGAGCATATGATCCAAAACACTTCGCTCTCTCTCTCTCTCTGCAGTGACATGGTTTTTAAGCTAATTATGTGTTGAAATAGCTCTTTAGTTGTTTTCATGTTGATTGATAAAGCCTTGGTTTTTCTAGTTCTGATAAAGCCTTGGTTTTTCTTCATCTACCATTCTGTTATGGAGTCTAATATCTTCATTCTTTCCTTTTATTTATTGGTTCCCATTTCATTTATCTGATCTACAGGTTCCTTTTATTTAACTATGAGTTTTCCCTCCAAGAAAAGGAATTGACGAATGAGTTTTCACTTCTAGAGTGAATATGAAGTCTCCTACTGTGGAGGTAACCTATTTGAGATTTTATTTTTAAAATAAGCTTGTTTTTATTAATAAAAATATGTATATCCTTTTCTTTCTTTCCCCCTTCTTTCTCTTTTTGGGTGGATGTAATGGCAAGTACAAAGCTTGAAAGTAAACACCAAAATGACAGAGCACCAAGAACTCTTCTCTGTCCTTCCTTTTAAGGTAAGGTTGCTACTTTAATTTTTGTTTTGTTTTTATATATAGCAGGAAACAAATATGTTATATATTTCATGTAAAATTGAATCTTGATATGTGATCTTGTAGTGCCATTATTTATTATTATCATGCTCCCACGCCCTACTTAACTATGACTCAGACGGGATCCTTGTGAGCAGGGTAAGGGAAGAAACCAATATTAGTTATATATACTAACATATGCGTAGAAATATTATCCTTTGCATTGGGTAATATGAAAATTAGCATTTTCTTTAATGAACTCCCATCGGCAGTTCTTTACATTGGTGGTGTAGTATTTGAAATAATTTCAACACTTCTAGAATCTGATTCTCCACTGTTTGGTCAGTTTGATTAGTCTATAGATACATTCATACATTATCAGCAAGTTACTGCTGATAAAATTGTGTCCACGGAGCATTTAGTTTGAGAAATTGATTGTTCTTGATGCTCTTTTACATTTGCTTATTGAATTTTTATTTATTAGCAAGTTACAATGAAAGCTAAGAGAATTGACAATGCTTCAGAGGAAATCAATGTAAATGTCAATATCAAATATATAATTTAGAATATAGTCTAAGTATTATATGTCAAACAGCGCGATTTAGTCTTCACAATGACATTGTATATGTGCTGATTTATTGAAGCATGACAAGCAAGCAAAAATGCTCCACCTGCACACGTACGTGAGTGCCAGACTACTTAGTTGACAAAACAACGTACAGGCTAGGGAAATGGTCAGGCTTGCCAGGGATGCAATGGGAAATAATATTCAAGCTTGGTGTTGCTTCTTGGTGATTTGCGCTCACTTTTTGTTATTCTCAGGCTATTTCTGTGGTTAATTTGCGAAGCTCTTAATGGGAAAATTGATCAGACCTAGTTAATGCTGTCAATGTTAGCTTGCTTAGTTTCAATTGTTCATTGTGCTTGTTGTTGCTATATTTGGAAAAATTCTCTTTTCTGCTATTCACACTGTTTTTTATCATTGAACATCGATTGCTTGATTTGTGAACATACAAGAGTTGGATTGGAGATAATTTAAATATGTCGTTGTTTGAATATAGGGGCTTTTTTTTGGATTGGAGAATTTGGAGGTAATTTAAATAAGTTGTTGTTTAAATATAGGGGCTTTTTTTTTTTATTCCAATCCAAAAAAAAAGTCCCTAAATGTCTTTTTTTTTTTAGATGTCACTTTCTAAACAAGTTGTACTTTCTAAGTTGGTTCTAAGTTACAACAGAAAGTAGACTTTCTAAACCATTTTTAGCCGATTTAGAAAATCTTTTTTATACTAGTGCAATTTTAATACTATGCATTTCAATGATTAGATAAATAGAATCTCAAAAACATGTGCCAAGAAGAATACCCTAAGTCAATGGTAGAGCCAAGACTTCAGCTTTGGGGCTCAATTTAATTTAAAAATTGATCATATAAAAATAAAATTTAATAATTTTGAAAAATTAATTCCATGCCTTATAATTAATTAAAGGCAACATTTTTGTTTTATTACAATAGTTGAAAATTGCAGCTAAAAGTGTGAAAATTGTTGTAAAAAACTAAAAGTAACATTTTTAAACTTATACTTATTCCGGTGTTATTTGTTATAAAAGGTTATAGGTTTTGCACTCTGTAGTCATACTTTTCAAAATCTATTGTTTATATTTTAAAAATAAGCAATAGTTTACATATCAATATGTTGCAATAATTTTAAAATGTTGTCTATCATATAATCATAATAATAGGTAGTTAAGAACTGTTGTATGTATATAAAATAGAAAAAAAATTAAGATTAAGATTTCTATCTATATCTGGTGTTTGAACCTCGAGCCTCAAGGAATCAAGGAAGTTAAAAATAACTTTTACCACTTTTTCAAATTTACTATCATATCATTTGGTGCAAATTATTTTATATATAGATAATTTTTTTAAAGTGATTTTTTAATTTAACTAATTAATAATTTAATAAATCAATCAATTAATTTTTTAATTAACAAAAGTATAGCAAAAAATATTAAAAAGTGTAAAAATAAATGGCTTTTATGTATAAAAACACAATACGCAATGATTATTAAATGTTGTAAAAAAAATTTAAAGGTAACAATTATGTAATTGTTGCCTATCAAAAAAGGAAATAGTTTTTAAATGTTGTAAAAAAAATCATTTTATTACTTATTTAAAAAATACAATTCAACAATTTAAAAGTATTGCTTATTCTATGTTAGGTAACATTTTTCAAGTGGTGTCAAATATTTGTTGTTTAAATTAATAATCAATTGCAATGTTTGAAAAATGTTCCTTATTTACACATTAAACAATACTTTTAGAATTGGTACGAAGCGTTAGAAGCAAAAAATGTTATAGTGATTGTGATGTCATGTTTTGAAAAATCATTGAATATGAAATAAAAATAAAAAATTTTAAAAATTATTGTGAAAAAGATGGGTTTGATATTGAAAATGAAAAGTAAACAATGACATTGTTTTATAAAATTAATATTGTTGTTTATTAGGTTTAAGACTTAAGACTAGAGTTTAATAGGCTTGAGTGAAGTTATTGTATCTGAAAAAGTTGAAGTTAAATAAATTTGAAGGATATTGTCAATATATTCAAATACAATATATATATATATATATATATATAAGGAAATTCGTTTTCAAATAAAAGAAAGAATACTGACACATATCAAATACGTAAATAAAGGACCAAAGATATATGAGCGAATATCTTTCATATATATATATATATATATATGAAGATAAATATATGTGCATTTTTTTATTGCCGTGGGCTTAATACTGCGCTCAGCTTTTTGTTGATAAAAACAAAAACTTGTGTCAATGGTTTTCTCCCTCAGACCCATGAAAAGGACGAAACAAAAGAGGTTGTCCTAGATTTCTCTCTCCTGTATGACTACCCAATTTCTGTGTTTTCATTCTTCCCTATAGTTACTGGATCATTCCACACATTTTCATTTGTTTCACTTTTCTCCCTCACACACAGGGAGTCAGACTTTTTAAATTAGTGGGACAAAATGTCAAAACTTTTCCTATGTACTTACGTGAAATTTCACTCAACTAAGGAGTGCCAAAGCAAGAAGTTGGGGTAGAATTCTAGTACGGATGCATTCCCTCCTTTCAGTGTATTGAGGTCAAACTTTTATTCTTGAATTACTTTGAAGGATAACAGTGATAGTATCTAATAATAAGAAGAAAAAATTATTAATCTTAAGTAGAGTGTCCACCGTTCAGTCATAGCCTGTTTGATTATTAGAAAGATTGTTAATGGAATGGAATGGAAATGGCAATTAGGTTTGGGTAAATATTTCCTTATATTTTCGAACCTATGAATGACAATTAGGTTAAAAGATATTAAGCTTGGAATGCGTCTAATCAAGCGACTTGTGCTATTTTGATTAAGTAAACTATTCTCAACCATTCTTAATATAAAGAGTTTGATAGGGGCTGTTTGTTAAAATAGAATCCAAATCCATGGTGGTTTCTGGTTTTGTTGGATCAATAGCCTAGCTTGCAGCATGGCAATAAGAGAATTAGTGTGAGTGTACGCTCAGTATGAAGTTTGAGATTTCACAGATCAGGAGAGAAATGAGTGAGAATGATGAAAGGAAGAATAATAATAGTGCCAAAATGCATATCAAGCAGCATCTGCATCAGCATTAATTATTATTTTGCACAGGAGCACCGATTCCTCCGCTTGCTGCGGCATTCATTACAGATCACAAGATAAGGCTAATGTTGGTTGTGGCTGTGGCTTCGTTGGCTTTGACAGTGTTTGGATATGTGGGAGCTGTGTTGGGAAAGGCTTGTATTTTGAGAACTTGTGTGAAGGCTCAAGGCTGTATTTGAAGGGTGGATATAGCTATGGCAATCATTTTTGGGTTAACCAAGTTCTTGTGGATTGAGCCTATAATTTGAATGAAGTAATTTGCTTTATTTTGCTGTATGAGGTCAGGCTCTCAACATGAGAATCTTAAAAAAATGATGTTTCATTCTCTTGTGTTGAAGTATAATGGGATATTGTTGTGGGGAGAGAAGTGATCATTTTAGTCGGTGACAGATGCAAGAGAGACTATGGGAGCCATGGCTCCCTGAATTTTCAAATTTTATTTGGTATTATATAGGTGGTCTGCATTTCTGTCCCCCAAAATTTATACAAATTTTATGCCATAAATGCTTTTCAATCCTAGTCCTCCTCATTACTAAATCCTGGAACTGCTTTGGATTTTAGTGATCTAATGTAAAGAATTTATCCTAACTCAAAAGTACTATGATTGAGGGTATGTTCAAGTAAAACATAGGCGAGTTTATTCCAGTATACTAGGTTTAAAATTTTATTCTTAAAATACTCTGAAAGATAATAGCAAACAAAAGCTATTTTTTTTATTGCTCACAGCTATCTTTCAATTGGAGGCAATCTTATTCGAGACAAGATTAAGTATTAAATGCGAGCACCTCTTTTAATGAAGATTCAAATCTTGGCTCACCATATTGGGAAAGACTAGCCCCTTCCACTAGATCTAACCCCATTGGTCAACAAAAGCCCATTAAATAAGACAAAGAGAGGGAAGAATGGTACAATTTGTTTGATAAAGAATAATATATAATGATTAATGCCTCTTCTCTATTCTTACTTTCTTTTGCCTTTTCCTCCTTGTCTATTAGCTGAAAACAGATGTATTGAATTATGCTAAACACAGATGTATTCTTAATTTCACTTATTTTTATAGTTTGTAATTATTTTTTCGTAATTCGATACCCTTTTATAATTTATAGTTATTTTTTATTAATCCCAAGAGTTGAAACGAACAATCACTCAGCACCAACTTGCGAAGCTTTATCATGATTTCACAAAAATGAAAAATGATTCTTATCATTTATTTTATTATAAATCCTATCGTATTAAGGTAGTATTTCTTAAAAATATGCAATTAATACGTGTTCTTGATTCTTGGATTTAAAAAAATATGATCCTATTAACTTCAGGCGTTGATTAAGAACAAAAAGGAATATGGCTTTGTTACGTGACTCTTGAGCACCTGCAGCTACTTCGAACTTCAGTGACGAGAGATGCAAACAAATCATCAGGAAACTTTCTCCCGATCAGAATCTTAACTTGTTGATTGTGCTTGTGCATAAAATATTATTTGAAAAGATTATTGATCCTGTCGTGACATACTCCAGTTTTGACATAAATCCGAAAGGAATTAAACTCACAATTATTGTAAGTTTATATTCTCAGGAAGATATTCTGATTCTGAACAATTTTCCTTCATGCATACAAATAGACACTATTTTCTGGATATTTTATAGTCAAAGATGAGTACTGAAATAATAGTTAGCTTCATTTATTTAAAATTAACTCAGTTTTTGTCCTTTGAGAAAGACAAAGTGAAGAACTTCGAAATAATATTCCCAATCCTATATCATTTGGCTGATGCTATAACCCAAAAAGTCTCCAGAAACGAACCTACAAATAAATGAATCACCTCATCAATAACACTCATCCCCCAGAATTTTCATCCCTTCTCATTATAAGTCCTTGAATCTCCACACCCTTTCCTGCAATCTTAAGCCAAGAAATCTTTGATTTTTCTTCTGAGTTCTTCAGCTTTCTTGAGCTTCTTTGATCTTTCCTCTTCTTGTCTGCCATGGCCGCCATTTTACCCTGTGGTTTGGTATCCCTCAACCATGTAGGAGTAGCTCCAAGCCCAATCCAACCAAATTATGAAGATGATCATGAACAAACCACCCAAACTCCAAAGGAAGAAACTGGTGAGCGCGACTACTCTCAAAGGGGTCAATGGCTTCGTGCTGCAATATTGGGAGCCAATGATGGTTTGCTTTCAGTTGCTGCACTGATGATGGGTGTAGGAGCTGTTAAAACAGAAGCCAAAGCAATGGTGCTTTCTGGTTTTGCGGGGGCAGTGGCAGGAGCTTGCAGTATGGCAATAGGAGAGTTTGTATCAGTGTACACTCAGTATGATGTTGAAGTTGCACAGATGAAGAGGGAAATGAGTGAAGATGATGAAGAGAAGCAGATGGAG